TTGAGACAATAAAAGACATTTATGTCCATCCTGTTACGAAATTTAATTGTAAAGTGCTATCAAAATATTTATCAGTTCAATTTTTGTTTATTAAAGGTACTCTATGCTGTTGCAAAACTAAGAATTTTTCATAATTTTAAGAAAAACAAATGATGAAACTTAAATAGGTATATAAATACCAGGATAATTTGTCCCTCCTGTTACAATTTCTGTCCATTCTGTTACAAGAGTGCATGTTTAAGTTATAATGGCACTATTTGAGCACTAACTTATTTCAATATGATTTACGAAGTTTTTTAACATGTGTTATTAAACTTATATTACTTAGAAAAATAAAAGTAATTGTTTTTATTGTTAAAACTCAAGATTTGAAGTCCAGTTTTCCTTACTGTTACCATATTAATGGTAACAGGAATGACAGTAACAGGATGGACGTTTCTCGTATAAATCACCAGTTAGTAAGTATAACGTACTCTTTTTGCATCATCGAGACATTGAAACAGTTTCTTTGTAACTTAGTTAATCTGATTGTTTTAGCAGAATAGACAATTTAAAGAGTACTTGCATATTATGAAGGTAACAGATAGGACATATTTTCATTATACTCTACCAATAAGACAAACTTATCGACCTTTGAACCCTTTCTTTACTCACTTTCAAATCATGGCGCTCATAAACTTGAGACAACAGAAAATGATGATATATTGTGGATCATTAAAACAGTTCCTAGGAAAGTGAGATAACTTTTATTTTAACATTTTCTTTTTGGTAACAGGAATGGCATAAACTGGAGGGACATGTCACTTCCTGAATGTTAAATGCACAATACTAGTCTTTAGTGGGCGGCATAAGTAAAACAATCATATTTAATTAATCTGCAAATGAATTCAATAAATATGAGGTGCAAAATTTGTACATATCTTCACAGGGTAATATTTTCCCTATCATTTAAATAAGCGCGTTATAAAATTTTTGTTAATGTGACATGGTTTTACTGTTAAATTTTACTCGGAATGCATAGAATATTTTTTATAAAACACCTGGGAGATGATCATAAAAATAACTTATAAGCTGTATGACCATGTATATTAACCAACAGGAAAAAAAAATTCACTCTAAAATTGTTTTTCCTATTATTCTGATCAAAAGACAAAAAAGTGGACTTTTTTGGAAAATGACCCACTTACTTCCATTCATATGTCAGCCCAAGGTATCCATTGAAATAAACCAGAGTCAGTCATATCTGTTTAATATTTAGCCTTTTGTTGAGAATCTTTGACTTAATTTTAAATTGCTAGTATTCGATCTACAAGGATTAAAATTATATATTAATTACTCATATCTTTAAAGTTAAATGCATTTTTTTTATCATGTAAGGATAAATACTGTCTGATTTTTTTGTTTTGGTTGTGAAATGATTTAATTGTTCATTTGGAAGAAAGTGTAACTGACACTAAAAATAGTATCTTTAGAACTTTACTTTTCATACAATGTGTTTGCGATTAAAATGGGATTCATCTACTGTCTAATATGATTTGTTACTGATAATTATGTTTGAATAAAGTCCAAGAAACTCGGGACATTAGAAATATTAGTTATATTCTTATCATTCCAATATATGTCATTATATTCTAAAAAAAGAGGTTAATTGATGATAAACTCATACTCTTTCATTGGATTCAAACATTTTCCTTTCTCACATCTGTGATACTAGTAACATATATATTTGAATACAGATAGGTTTTTAATAATACTTTATTTTATTCCAAAGATCGTACAGACGATTATTTTAGCATATCTATTTTCAATGTTTAAAACTTTTAACTTAATTCTCTTATCGTTTGAGTTTGTGTATCGTCTTCTCCTTTACGAATCTGACAAAAACGCCCTCTTTATGAGATGTCGACAATATTATGTAATTCTGTTCTATGCATGAAAGTTACATCCGTGGGACCTAAAATTATTAAACTAATCTAAGACTCTAATATATAATCTAAATATTTCTCTAGGACTAGTTACAAAATTTCAATTTCTTCTTAAGCTGGTCAATAAATTAGCATCGGCATAGTAATTTTTTCAGGAAAAAAGCAAATTCAGAGAATTGTGGTCGCCCTTTTTCGGTGTCTAAGTGGTGCAGATACTATTTTTATGGCATATCGTGTCAAATATGAATGTTTTATCATATGTCATTCCAAAGTCATCACCAAGGTAAGTTTATTTTTATGCGCCCGAATTTATTCGGGGCGTATATTGTTTTTGTCCTGTCTGTCTGTTTATCTGTTTGTCTGTCTGTTTGTCTGTCTTTTGTCAACTTTAACCTTCGCCATAACTTTTGAACCGTAATAGATAAAGACTTCATATTTGGTATGCATACTCCACTAATTAAGAACTTTCAACTGACACCAGAGTCAATGACCTTGTGACCTTGACTGTGACCTCTATGCTAAAATTTTTTTTTCGAACTTTCGCCATAACTTTTGAATCATGGGAGATAGAGACTTTATATTTAGTATGCATACTTCACTAAATAAGTGCTTTAAAATGACACCAAGGTCAGTGACCTTGTGACCTTGACTGTAACCTATATGCTAAAAATAGCTTTTTCAAACTTTGTTGCCGCCGGGCGCATAGTGTTTCACAAACACATCTTGTTTGAAAATGAACTCAAACATAAAGGTCAAGGCCAATGGTTCAAAAATCGTAGTATGCTCCGAAACATCTTGCCTCGAGTAATGTACATGTCAAATATGAAAGTCACACCTCTTGTCATTCAAAAGTTAACAACTTTTTAAAAGTAGGTCAAACTTCATTGTCAAGGTCCTGGGTTAAAAAATCATAGTATATTTAGAAAGGTATTGCCACAGGTAATACACATGTGTAATATGAAAGCCCAATTTTTTTTTCTTTCTAAGGTTATGACTTATTTAATGTAGTCTTATTTTTTTTGTTGAAAATACGTCAGTCATGAAGATCAAGGTCACGGGGGAAAATCATAGCATATTTGGAGAGGTTTTGTCCCAGGTAATGTACATGTAAAATATGAAAGCATTATCTCTTCCTCATTCAAAAGTTATGACCATGGTTTAAATTTTTGACAGACTGACTGACTGGCAGACATACAGACTGACGAACGGGCAAAGGAATGAGCATTAATGTCCCCTTGCTTTCACGACAGCGGGTGATAAAAGTCAATATTTCCATCGAAATAAATTTGCGAAGAAAATAAAAAGTACTTCCAATGCTAATACTGTTTGTCTGATTGTTGATCTGAAAACTGTGAACATTTTTGCCTTTTATTAAGAAGCTTTCTCTGATGAAGAGCCACGTCCTTCTGAGAGGGGATATAAAATTATACATGGTGAAAATAAGATGGAATCATTTTAAATTTCTCTAAAGCGATTAACCAGAAAATATGGTAAATGTTCAAGCGTTCTAGCTGACAAAGGCGTAGATTCAAATTGAGTCTTGGTGAACATTGTAATTCTCAGGTGGCTAAATCGTCATACATGTATTGATCTCAAAACAGCAATAATTATATACTGTAAACCAACTTTTATTCGCGTGCGAGAAATTTTCGCGAAGTTCGCGAGAGACCCGTCATCGCGAATATTTCTCGCCGCGAACCGGTCCTTAAAGTGTATGTGTCTATTAACAACAGATCCAAAAAGGCTTGATCGCGAAAATAAATCGTCGCGAACTAGTTTATCCCTGGTAAATCGCGAAATAAAGTCGTCGCGAATAAAAGTTGGTTTACAGTAATATCACTCATCAAGACATAATAGGGTTTCAGAATTTTGTAATGTAGATGCATAAAAATTTGGGACAGCTAACAGATACAGTACTTGAGCTTATGAAGCAAATATCATTATTTTTAAACAAGGAAACAAGATGTGTTTGTGAAACACTATGCGCCCGTCGGCAATAAAGTTCGAAAAAAGCAGTTTTTAGCATATAGGTCACAGTCTAGCTCACACGATCATTGTCCTTGGTGTCATTTGAAAGCACTTAATTAGAGAAGTATGCATACCAAATATGATTTCTCTATCTCCTGTGGTTCAAAAGTTATGGCCAATATTTGTAAAAAGCTATTTTTAGCATTTATATCACAGTCGAGATCACAAGGTCATTGACCTTGGTGTCAGTTGAAAGTGCTTAATAAGTGGAGTATGCATACCAAATATGAAGTCTCTATCCCTTACAGTTCAAAGGTTATGGCGAAGGTTAAAGTTGATAACAGACAGACAAACAGACAGACAGGACAAAAACAATATATACGCCCCGAATCTATCGATTCGGGCGCATAAAAATGCATAAAAATGCAACATATTTAAGAAATAATCATTATGGTGATTTTTGTCACCTTAAAAGGTTAAGAATAACGCAGACTGATCTATCTCCAAAAAAAAAAAACAATAAACAATACAATTATGTAAAGATGGTGTTAAACACGGATCCCTGGAAATTCCAGAGGAGGAAGTTTAAGGTGCCTATGACGAGAAAGCAACCCCTGTTGACCGGCCAATCCGTGAGCCCAATGTTTTGATCAGGCATACGGAACTTTACCTAGCCGGTACAGTATAAAAACAAAGGCCTAACAATTGGTATTCGAGGGACAAATTTACAAATTATGATAAATAGGTTTTGTAAGTTTTAAAAACAACTTGCAAAAACATGTCTTTAGGTGGTGTTTTTGAACTTAACAAATGGGAAGATACCAAAACTAGTTAAGGTGATAAACCAATGATGTTATTTGATAAGTCTTGTTAAAGTTTTCCTGATCGTTGAAAATACTAATAATTGAAAAATAAACAAAATAATTACCAAAGAAATCGCAGATTCAATTTATTTCACGTCATTGATAGAAGACTTCAAGTATGAAAATAAAGTAGAACTGACAAGGTAAAGCTACCAAAGTTAACGGAGATGAACAGAGTGAAATGGCTGGGTATATATGTAGAAGTAGAGAAAAACACTGAAGAGGAAGAAATAGAGTTACATACCGCCATCAAAGGTTAAGTATCTAGCAGTCGCAAAGGTAAGGCAGGATGTAAAACTTTCACAAAAAAAGTTACAAAAGAACTTTTTCATCGCGAACTTTGGAAGATTACAATTAAAAAAACTGATGGTAATAAACATTAAACGAAATGCAAAGGGTTTGAGTTGCTACATGTACATGGTGTGTTTCTTGGAAAGTAAATTTAAAGGGGATGTAAAATTCCCACCAAAAACCCCCGTGTTTTCCTTTTTAAGAAACATACAACCCACAGATTAACCTTCAAACAAAGTTCCTTTATAATTAGAGAACGAAAGCACACAGTATACAAAAACTCCACAGCAACTCTTCAACAATTATACATGTCCAGGTAAAGTTGCTAATTATGTAACGTTGTAAACAAATAGCCACTTCGAGGTATCAAGGGTAAATTTCAATAGAATATGCATAGCGGGACTGCATTTTGACTTCGAGGGATCAAGGGTTTCGAGAGATCAAGAGATCGGGAAATCAAGAGTAAATTTGCTGAATTATTTAGGGAAAAATTCGGGACCGGAAACTCACTTCGAGCGATCAAGAACTTCGAGAGATCGAAGTTCGAGCCATCAAGAGTTACCTGTATGTAAAAGATCTAGACAAACAGCGATTAGTCTCTAACGTCCATTCAAGACTAGAGCTCACGAAATAATACCCTCTGCCTCCCATATAATTCTAGTGGCAAAATCCATGCTTTACTTTTGGAGACCCGAAATAAATGTCAGATCAAAAATTGAAATAGGAGGTCACAATGGCACTATGTTATGCAGAATCTGTGAAAGTATGATTGAATTTTATTTAGTGGTATGGAAAGAATTGCGGATAAGAGATGGGTACCCGTCAATATTATATAAAAAATGGCAGTGTCAGTGTTTTGCTATGGGAGGTACGAAATAAGTTTCCGATCTTAAATAAAATTCTTTTCGTTGTTTACTTGCTAAAAATACTCATAGATCACGTGACTAGGTAACTATAAATACATTGGGTCATACGCATTCTTTATCGACTCTCGCTATAACCTCGATACACGTATATTCACGAAAAATAATGAAATTTCAGGAAAAAGATTTATTGTCTGTTGAAATACCGATTTATGCAAGTTTAATTAACTGAAGTATATGTGTAAATAGATATCATAATTTGATTGTCAATTGATTAAAGGTTATAGCGAGTAGCACTCCTAAAATGGTTTTTCTTGTTATTACTTAGAATAGAATTAATTTATATTCGGACGAACAAAGTGAGGGAGAATATAAAACAAAATAGGTCGCAGTGGCACTACGTAACAAAGAATATTTGAAAGTCTCATTAAATTTCATTCAGTGGTATAAGAAGAGTTGTGGATAAGAAATGGGTACCCAAAGCGTAACAGACGGTGTAATGAGTTCTGTGGAAGTCTGGAAGAAAACTACGGGTACTGTGAGCACTGACCTTACTAAATGATACCATCCACCCCCTATATGGTTATAATGGCAAAGTTCATGTTTTGCCATGAGAAACCCGAAATCAAAAAGTAAAATAAAAGGTGCACAATGACAATATGTTTCGAAGAATCTATGAAAGTTTCATCAAATTTCAATCATTGGTATTAGAGGAGTTGCAGATAAGAGATGGGTACCCCAAAGCGTAACAGACGGACGAACGTGAGGACACACGTACGGACATCCTGATCACTATAGACCCTCCGGCTTTTCAAGCGGGGGTATAAATATTTAATGATACTTTCACAGATTATATTCTTCATCACATAATGCCATTGTGCACCTTTTATTTTATTTTTTGATCTGACAATAATCCAGTTTCTCCCAGAACAAAACATGGACTTTGCCATTATAATGGTATGGGAGGCAGTCGGTATCATTTTTAAGTGAGCTCAGTGCTCATAGTACCTCTAGATTTATTTTGGTTGCGTGAAATCTTTCTTAGGCCGAAAGCTTCACATAATTTGCCTTATCTTACTCGACTTTGTACTTTAGGATTTCACGGTTCAGTATCGTTTGTTATACGTGATTGAAGATCATTTTGCAGATTCTTAATACCGAATACCATCGACATATTGAATGCTCCTTAATTTTCATGTTCAATCTCAGTAAGCGATTCATTCGAATAATTTTTTCATAAAAATGAATGATTAAACATTTATATATGTTATACTAGTTTTCGATAGATAGATTCGATTGTATGTTGTTTTACGTCCCAGTCGAGAATCATAAACTAGAGGTACTGTGAGCGATGAGCTCACTAAATGATACCCCCCGCCTCCATATAGTTATAATGGCATTTTCCGAAAGAGAAATAATATTTATCGTTCACGGAAATGTTTTGGCAAAGTCCATGTTTTGCTGTGGCCGGGAAACCCAAAATATATGTCGGATCAAAAAGTGAAATAGGAGGTGCACAATAGCAATATGTAATAAAGATTCTGTGAAAGTTTCATCAAATTTCATTCAGTGGTATGAGAGGAGTTGCGGATAAGAGATGGGTACCCCAAAGCGTAACAGACAGACGGACGGACGGACTTAACGATTACTATATACCCTCCCGCTTTTCAAGCGGGGGGTATAATAAACATTTATACATGTATAATATTCACTTATGTTCATAAATGAATTTCTCTTTCTGGACAGATCTTGGATGTATTTGAACGAAAATATTTTTACAATTTTTTGGTATTTCGATTTATGTGCATGAGATCAAAATAATAGTGTATAGACTGATTTTAATGTATTTTATTAATCAGATTAATAAATTTATAAACAGTAGTATTACAGTATTAGGCACTTTGCTTGGCAGCATTTAAATACCGTAAGTCTGGAAATTTTTGCTGTAGATAAATGTTTAGCAAATTTGCGAGTTCATTGCATTCGCAAAAATATTTTTCTTAAAAATAAAATACCAACTAGAGGTACTGTGAGCAATGAGCTCACTAAATGATACCCCCCGCCTCCCATATGAATATATTGGCAGTATCCATGTTTTGCTCTGGAAAATCCAAAATATATGTCAGATCAAAAAGTAAAATAGGAGACAATGGCAATATGTAATAAAGATTCTGTGATTTTCATTAAATTTCCTTCAGTGGTTTGAAGGAGTTGCGGATAATTACCCCAAAGCGTAACAGACGGACGGACGGACAGACGGAAGGACGGACGGACAGACGTACAGACGGACGGAAATACCGATTACTATATACCCTCCCGCTTTTCAAGCGGGGGGTATAATAAGGAAATGTAAACAAAGCAGTGGTCATTCGCAAAATTTTGAAACGTAAAAATTAATCAACAGCATTCTGACCCGAATTCGCAAAATAAAATCGACGCAAAAAATTCCAGATTTACGGTATACAAAGGCAATGACGATGTCGTCATTTTTGGAATGCATCAAATTGATTTGAAAATTGATTTCATACTGAAAATATTGTGAAATTCATAATGTACTTTTGTCAAATTTCTCATATGATAAAAGGTGTGATTGAATACCCTCATGGGTTCAAGACTATATTAAGATAAAGGAATAGTAAACTATTATAGAATAGATAAGATAAAGCCAGAATCGTGTTACTGTTTATCACCGATTCCAAACTCTACGAGGAAAACTGTATTTTCTTAAGGTAACTTTACTATTTAATTATCGAAGCTATATTTGAATATTAAATTACGTGCATTCGTTTGTCTTTAAATTTGAGATGGTTGAAACTTATTTGGGGGTTCTTAAAAAGAAAAAGACAAACATATGAATAATTTTGTGGGGTTTTAGTGGGAGGGGTTGGGGTGTTAAGACATTTCTTATTACATCAACAGATGCAATTCTTTTTATAAACCCCCCCCCCCCCACTTAAAAGTGGGATGGTATATAGTGATTATTGTGCACCTCTTATTTTACACATATTTCGGGTTTTCCATAGCAGAACATGGACACTGTCATTCCTTCTATGATATTGAAGGGTACCCATCTCTTATCCGCAACTCCTCCTATACCATTGAATGAAATTTAATGATACTTTCAGGGATTCATTGTGCAACTCCTATTTTATTTTCTGATCTGACACTTATTTCGCGTCTCTGAGAGCAAAACATGGGCCTTATAATGGCGTAGGAGGCGGAGGGTATCATTTAGTGGGGTCAGTGCTCACAGTACCTCTAGTTTTATTTAAATGTAACATAATATTTCTTGAAAAAAACTTTTTCCAAAACATACTGAGATAAGAAGTGAATAGCCTTTAAATATCTAAGATACATTTTGTTTGGAAATATGTCAATTTTTCTTGTTCTTTGGTTCAACTTTCGCCAGTTCAGAGGTTGTGTGAAAGTTCTTATAAATATGATAGGTAATGTTTGCTGTTAACAGACACAAAAACAGAATGGTGAAAAATTGCAAACTCTTGCAAAATGAAAATTGAAATATATGGAGATGATGAACAGTATGCAAGCTCAAAAGTCCATAAAACAATATAAAATAGGAGCATAGCAAACACAGACCTTGAAAACATCAGAGGTGGGATCAGTTGCCATAGAGGAGTGAGCATCCCCCTGCCGACCGGTCACACCCGCCGTGTGCTCCTCTTCATGATTGGGAAATCCAAAAATAATGTGAAACAGGGTTTTTTCTCAACTCTGTAATTTTTTTTCAGTTATAAAGAAAGATGGCATTTTGGGAATACCTTTGCTGCCTTCTTGCTGTGGCAATGCTACCTATCAATGTCAATGGTGCGGCATCGGTGACATTAACAACACCACCCCATCATACCCAGCCCATTGGACAGGACCACTTATTGATTGTTTTACAGAATATGCATCAATCGAATACCTACCATCAACTTACAACCCAACAGAAGATTTTCTTGGTGGAACTTCTTGCCGCCGCGGAGGTAGATGCCGTGACTCATTACATTGACACAGTTGGATTCGATAAATTTCTCTTATTTCTTGATGGTACGTTATATCTATCATGATTTTGTTTTATTATTTAGGATTTTGGAAAGTTTCATTTTCTTTTGCATGTAATTTTTATTTTCAAAAACTCACAAAAAAGTTGATTTGTTTGCAAAGTTATTACATAGAATGCTTAACGTTAGAGACCATATACTACATCAAGATTATATATATTTAGTGGTGACAAAAATAAATGCAACTGAGGCACATTTGTTGGAACATTACATGGTTCAGGTATTTATTTGCGCTTTTTAACAATATTAATCAAACAATTGATTGAATCGCATTGGTAAAACATGTTTTAGTTGTTAATTATTCTGTATGAATTGCTTGACAATAATTTCATACTTTTGCAATTGTTTTTATAAGGAATTGAATCAAGAGAACCCTGACGGCACTGGTCAGGGTGTTGTCGGAAGAAAGGTAAGAACCACCTTATTTCCATTAATTTTAATTTGATGTCGAATGGGTAAGTCAGCTTCCCGGACAATGTCACTTGTTGGTGGCCATGCATGAACTTTATTTCAAGATAGACAGGTCTAAAATAAACCTTTATAAATTTTGTTTCCTTTTTGTCAATCAAACTCTCGACTCTGGAAGCAAAAGTATTGAGGAAATCTGTCATTTATCCTTTCATGTGGAACTTTATATTTGCAACGAAGACCTTTGTCGATATATAAAAACAATGAACTAGATAGTACATAGTTAGGTTAGAAGTTTTATTGGGGAATTCTCAGTCAAATAAAAATGCAAAGGATTGTCTTTCATAAGAACGCATCCATCTCGATAGTACAGGTTTAGATGTGAAACAGATGAACGAGATTGTACTACTGTTGCACATTATTGATTCTGTTGAATGATGATTGCTAGATAGCGTGGAAACTAAGAATAAGTAAAGGATATGTTATTTCGAAATCCGTTATGTTTGACATAAAATGCTATAAAACAACAACTGAGTTTATCTTTCGTGACACTGATTACGAAATGGCGGTCAATCAGAAGAACACACTGTAAGGCACCAGATAAATTCATCATCATATAACATCTGGATGCACAAAAATCTGAATATACATTGGGCATGGGAAACTGACTCAAAAAGAGTTTTATGTTGTTAAAGAAGAACATCACACTTTTTGTTCTTATACACCAGTCTTAATAAGAGTGAACTAGAGGTAACTTTTTTCGTCTACTCGTCAATCAAACTTACATGTCTTAGAATAATTCTTATGACGAAAAAATATCAATTACCGGGTAATAAGAATTAATTTTCAAAGCAATTTAGATCTCTTTTCTTGGCATATAATTTTTTTTAAGTTTTCAGAACTTTATGAGTGTAAAATGTAAAGGCGGGTTATTTCTAATTCAAATTTGGTCTTTGGAGTTGGCCTTATAGCTTGAAATTGGGAAGATTTCTTCGGTGGGGGCAAATACTGTACCTAATGATTTTTGTCAAATAACCCTTTTGTTGGAAAACGGATATGTCCTATGTAGCATTCATTGTCCCATTTTTTTTAATTAGAGGGATTTAGCGAAGTTTCTGGCCACAGTACAGCAGAACCCCGCTGTGCAGTCACTACCCCCCAGTGATCAGGCCCTGTTGGACGAACTGTTGAGAGCCGCTGAAACCCACACACTGACACCCGTCATCCACAGAGAAGGATACGCCAAGATTGTCCAGCTTATCGAAGGTAATCAGAGAGAGAGAGAGAGAGAGAGAGAGATGGCGTCTAAATATGTAAAGACACATTTTTTCTAATTATGAAAGCGTTTTTCATCATATCCTGCATATAAAATTTATTTTATAAATTTAAAAATATCTGATCTGATTTGTTCCAAGATGGCCATTGATTATATATGCTATTTCGTTATGATAAAATGAAGCTGTCAACATTTTGTAAAATATATTTGAAGCTATGATTTGAACACAACTAATTCGACATTGGATTTCCATATCTCCATAGGATATCACATGAACATAAAATTACACATTAACGGAAAATATGTCTTTTTCAATATTTATCCACAGAAAGCAGAAACATACGAGAAAAAAGCAGAACAATATCGCCAGGGATTATTTTAAAGCTTTATTTATTTGATACACTTAGAATTTTTTTTTTTTTAGAAAAAGTGTTAAAATTAAACTTTTCAAGGAGTTATTTATTTTAAATGTTTTCACAAATCCTGTATCATTCTACATAATGTTAACGAGAGTAGTTGAGCAATTTTCATTTTTAAAAAGCCACGAAGTGGTATTTAGAGTTGGTCCCTGGGAATTAAAATAGAGCAATTCTATAAGAATAAAAGTTTAAGATACAACCCACAATATATTGATGACAGTACTCATAATCTGAAGTGCTGCTTATAATACGCAATCAACGCTTTCTATAGAGGAGTTTATGCAAGCTGGTGATAGGAACTATTACCAAAAACTCGTTGAAACATTAAATTGCACTTATGTACCTATACAACATAAGTTTCAAGACACTGCTTACTACACATGCATAATTTTAAAAAAAAAGTACCTCGTGGAAAAATCCCTAGGCTTTTTTTTTAATCATATACACTTCTGCTTTCATCGTTCATGTCTAGTGTGGCTGCTGTTCTTTTCATGTTCATTGTATACTTCTTTGTACGAGTATATCATGAATAAAACACCTCTTAAACTAAACTTCATAAAAACAATACAACATCGTTATAACGTCTTTATATATATAATATATTGAATTTTACAGACATTGGTACTCCAACTGAAACACATACTTTCATTTCTTACATGGTGTCGGTAAGTACAAAACCCAGGTATTTATGTAGAAGACGACGAACCTCCTTCTAGAGTACCCAATGAGACTGTGTTGAAATTTTTCAGTGAAAAAAAAGATATATTTTCAATGCATTTTTTGTACAATGACCACTACATAAAAGATGATATACAGGTGCACATATATATCTATCATTATGTATATGTTAATTTGGAAACTTCCTTTAATAAATTTTTTGTATTTATTGCTGCCTTTTACACCGAATACACCTAAATATAAACGAAAAAAATATTCCAAAGTCCCAGGGGTTTTCTTAAGGGCAGACTTGTAGTTCAAACTTAGTTACAAATAATCAAAGCAATATGAGATGCATTTTTTAGGAATTTTATTTTGCTGTTCAAATGTCTTATTATGACTTGTAAGTAATTTAAACCTTAAAATTTAGACTAAAATAAAGCATTAAATTGTTTCAGAACAAAGACTTCTGTACAATCAAATATATAGCATTATTTAAGAAATCAATATTATACAGAACGACAATAATGCAATTTTGCTTCAATCTTACTTATAAAAAGTTCTTCCGTCACTAATATGAACAACAGAATATTATATTCTTTTATCTCTGTTCTTGAAATAGTACTAGGTAATTACAATTTTGCAATAAAAAATTCCGCATCAAAGTTACAGCTCATATTGCTTTAATAAGTTATTTATTTTGAATTTCAAGATTAACATAAATTTACGACTTTTTTAAAAATTGTATAATGATTAAATAATAATAATAATAATAATAATAATAAAGAATAATGCTATTACATTTTTATGTTTGTTGATTGCTTTATACATACCGGTATATAATTCTTATTGTTTTATGATTCTGATGTGATATCCGATTTATAAGCCTATATAGTGCTTTTTGTCTATTTGTTTTATACTTTCTTCGTTTTCTTCTTTTTACTTTTACAGCATTTGAACCAGGAGGCTGCTCATCACTCTTCTACATAGACGCTCTGTTTTCAGACTGTTACATTAAATTGTGTTTATTTATATCTTCACAAAACCTTTCAGTTTCTTTCTTGTCTATCATATGACAAGGGAAACACGGCGGGTGTGACCGATCGACAGGAGATGCTTATTCCTCGAACGCACCTGACCCCACCTTTAATCTTTTTGGAGGACCATGTTTGCTCTACTCTCGATTTGTATTGTTTCACAAGATTTTACCAAAATCAACAGCTTTTAAACTTACAATTTTTCAACTATATACACAACCATTCCCCATGATAAATTAGAGTCCAAGCTTTTTTAGATCATCGACAGCTGCTTTTTCATTAAAAATGGAACTCGTAAAATTACTTACCTTGTCATTTGCAAAAGTATTTTGTTTAAAAACATTCTGAATGAACACACACAAACTCCAAAGTTGACATCAAAAAGGAGTTAATATTAAAAGATGCTTGAGTTTCTGATTGACAATATCTATGTGGTTTTTGAAGACCAAATCTTCCAACAATCTATTGGAATTCCCATGGGTACAAATTGCGCCCCGTTGTAAGCAGACCTATTCGTGTATTCATATGAGACATATTTTGTCCAAAATCTTATACGTGAGAAGAAAACACTTGTTGTCGTCTTCAGCTCGACATTCTTATGTCAATACGATATTTAATGGTGAGCTGGAGATAAAAGATGTCACAGAGTCTGACAAATCTCTTTCATATTTGGTTGTTTTAATTAAAAAAGACGTTACATGTAATAGTAATCTAACAACCAAGCCTTATGATAAACGTGATGCTATCGCCATCTTCCTTTACTTATGCAGCAATATGCCTTCATCGTCTGCACACGGAGTTTATATCTCTTAGTTGATTAGATACGCAAGAGCATTGTCTTCAAAAATTTAGAAGTGAAAAAAGATCGACATTTGGAAGGTTTGTTATTTTTTTTTTAGATGTGGAAACTTAAAAACTTTAAACGACTTTAAGAAAATTGTAGTAACAAAATTTTAATTGAAATCATAACATTTTCAGCATTCAACGTACGACTTTCCAATACTGTAAACCAACTTTCATTCGCGTGCGAGAAATCATCGCTAATATTTCTCGCCGCTAAACCGTTCCTTGAAGTCTCTGTGTATACTAACAACAGATTAAAAAGGCTTGATCGCGCGAACTAGTTTACCTCCGGTTAATCGCGAAATAAAGTTGTCGCAAATAAAAGTTGGTTTAAAGTACCGTATACAACCTTTTCCCAGCCCCTTATTTCTATATCAATATATCATTTTATCATCTGCATGTGGAATTTAGGTCTTCTGGTTGGTTAGATATGCAAGAGGGTGTTCTCATAACAATTTCTAAAACCAGGCAAGTTCAGATCTTATAACAAATGTGTCTCTTTTTTATCTCTCGTTCAATTTGGCCTATTTTCATGTAATTCTCCAATTATGTTTACAAGGCTTTTAAGGTGTATCGAATATGCATATGAACATTGTTATATCATGCACCAGGTATCTGCTTAATATTCGAATCAAAAACCAACCGTGGGTTCTTGTCTTGATGGCCCATAGGTTATCTATATACTGGCCTAACAATTTCTGCGAAAGACGTCAGTCAACATTTGACCTAAGTAAGAATTTAATTTGATTTGTAAAAATTTACTATCCCCTGCCGACCGACCACACCCGCCGTGCGCTCCGTGTCATGATCGAGAAATGACGTAAAATCCGTCGTCAATATCAGTGAATAAATAATGGACTAACAATTAGTATGAAAAACGTCTGTAAGCATTTGACTCAATGATAAACTGTATTTGCTGACAAGGTCATTGTATCTACCATAGATCTTACGAAATGATGAGTTAAAACGAGATCGACTGCTGATATTCTTGTTTCATCAACTTGTTTATCAATAATTTACCTCGTTTTAGAAATTGTTCATACGTAGAGCATGTTCTTGCATATCCAATCAACTGAGATAGAGATATGTAAACTCTGTATGCAGGTGATGAAGGTATATTGTTGCATAAGTAAGGGAAGTCAATGTTAAAGTCATCACGTTTATCATAGAGCTTGGTTGTTAGATTACCATTAACGTCTTTTTCAAGTAAAATATCCAAATATGAAACATATGTGTGGTATCTTTATGTCAAGCTCGCCAGGATATATCTCATCGACATATATAAGAATGGAAATTACCATTGTTAATTGACAATACGCCGTCGATATATCTAATTGTCGAGTTGAAGGCCATAGCAAGTGTTTTCTTCTTTTCACATATAAGATTTTGGACAAATTCTGCCTCATATGAATACACGAATAGGTCTGCTAACAACGGGGCGCAATTTTTACCCATGGGAATTCCAATAGATTCTTGGAAGATCTGGTCTTCAAAAACCACATAGATATTGTCAATTAGAAACTGAAGCATCTTTCTGATTTTATTAATTTTTTTTTATATATACAAAATTTTATTCACATAAGTGAATATTGGGCAGCAGGCAAAACCTCCAAGATATATAGGTATGAAAATAAATAGACAAATATAGTAACAAAGAAACAAAAGAAAAAAAAAGTAGATGTGTTGTACCGGTTAGAAAGCGTTGGCATAAGTAACATACATGACAGTGTCAATTAAAACGTTTGGTTGCTGTGATGAAAGCATGTACTGCTTCAAATATTTGAATATTAATACCTAGTCCATGATTGGGACTACCATACAAAAGTAAATCAAGTTCATGAGTTTGATCACAATCAATAATATTTTGGATAATTTGGAAAAGTACATTTCTTGGAGAGTTATATTTAAAATAATGATGAGCATCTTCAACAGAGTCAATACAGTATTCACACATTGGTGTTACTGATAAAAATTGGTTATATAAGTCTGCCTTTAAATTACTTGCATTATTTCGCAACTGACAATGTATTATATTTACTTTCTTATTCCAAAATGATAAATTTCTTTACCTTTTTTACAAAAATAAGAATATAAAAGACCTTTGAATGAAGATATTCCAGGAGCATTTCTGATATAATCAGGCAAGTTATTCCACAGTTTAACAGTTGATGGAAAGAAACTTTCCATATATGATGTAGTTCTAATAAAAGGAATTTTGAATTCTGCATCATTATTTCTAAGATTATAGGGGTGGTTTGTAGGACGAAAAGGTTCAATCAAGTCCTTTAAATATACATGTATAGGTGAATAGCCATTTATGATTTTATAAAATAGTAGCAATTTATGAATATTCCTCATAGTTTGTAAAAGATCCCACCCTTAAACCAGTAATGATTCTACCTGCTTCTACTTGGATATCTTCTAAAAGTTTTGCATCTTTTTCAGAACAATTGTCCCAGACAACGTCAGAATATTCTAAAACAGGTCTAATAAATGCAAAATATATCTTAACAAGTATTTTCCTTTTCACTTTATACCTAAGCATTCTGATGATATTTAGTCTTTTTGTAGCTTTTTCATGAATTAATTGTATATGCGATGTCCAGGTAGCATCACTTTAAAAATGTAATCCTACGTGGGTATGAGATGCATTTTGAATAATGGATGGGCCATGTTCACCAAATGTAATGGGCGGATATTTTATGTTTTTGCGGGTGAAATCAACATTTACAGTTTTGTTTGGATTAAAATCAACAAGCCATTTTTTTTTACCATTTATCAATTAGATCTAGATCACTAGTAAGCGATTGTGCTACATTTGTGGCTTCTTTTTCTACAATAGCAGATAAAGAAATGTCATCAGCAAAAAAAGACGTATATTATTTGCTAAATCATCACAAATATCATTTATGTATAGGAGAAAAAGAAAAGGTCCCAAAACAGAACCCTGAGGAACACCAGCATTTACTGTCTCATGGTTTAATGAAAAGCCATCAATTACAACTTTTTGTTGTCTATCACACAAATAATTCTCAATCCAGCCCATAATTTTTTAGTTTAGATAAAAGAACTTTATGCCAAACTTTATCAAATGCTTTTGAGATATCACAAAAAATAAATCTAACATCTTTTCATTTGTCAAGACTTGAAATTATAGTGTTATATGTTTCTACTAGTTGGTTCACAGTTGAGTCTCCAGGTTGAAACCCTGACTAATATTTGTAAATTACATTATTATCTTTCATAAAATTATGCAATTGTTTGAACAATATTTTTTCCATTATTTTACACAAGACACTTGTTAGGGATATTGGTCTATAATTTGATACTTCTTGAGCACTACCTTTATTTTCAAATACGGGTGTAATCTGTGATAGTTTCCAAATATCTGGCAACTTTTTTCATTTAGTGATCTATTAAAGAGTTTTGTTAGAGGGGTTTTAATTGTGCTAGCTATTTCTTTCAACACTCTTGGGGAAATGCCATAAGGACCAGGTGGTTTACTGCTGTCAATGATACATAATTGATCGTAAACTTCATTTTCAGTGAGAAATATTTCAGATAAAGTGTCTGTATTTTGTAATGGTGGACCAGGACCATGAAGAGGAATGTCTGGTTCATCTGTAATAGATGAAACTTGTGCAAAATATTTATTAAGAACTGTAGCCTTCTCAACTGGATGGAAGATAAGTTTACCTTTTGATTTTAGTGATGGTATAGGTTCATAATTTTTATTTAATTTTGATATTGACTTGACAAATCTCCATCATTTTCCAGGGGGATTGATTTATCAATCATTGAGGATATTCTCTTGTTATATTTTTCACGGGATTTTCGAATTTCATCAATAACTGTATTTCTGAGTTCTCTGTATGTCTGCCGATGTAGTGGATTGTCTGTATGCTTTGCTTTATAGTGTGTCCTATTTCGTCTCCTCGTTAATTTCCGTATGGTATTATTCATGAATACTTTATCTCTAGGTCTGATGGTAATGGTTTTCTTAGGAATATGTTTATCAATACAAGTGTTTAATGAAGAGACAAAATTAGAATATGTTTCATTGATATTGTTTGAATCATACAAAATAGAGTTCCAATCAAATTGTCTTAATTCCTCGTTTAGTGCAGTAAAATTTACATTTTCATAATTTCTTACTACCCTTTTGTAAGCATATTGTTTGCGGACAGTGAATTTAAGTTCAACACTAATAACACAATGAGAGCTGCAAAAAGGTGCTGATATGTCATGATTTTTTAATCAGACAAGTATTGTTTGTTATTATTAAATCAATACACGTCTGGGCAGTGCTCACAGTAAAGTTAGTAGCATTGTCTATGAGATTTGTTAGGTTGAGTCGTTGTAACAAGAATTTAAATTGTCTACTTTGGTTGGACATAGTATTGATATTAAAATCACCTAATAATAAAATTGGAATATTAAAATCTAAAGCTTGCTGTAGGTTATACAGAAAATGATCCCAATATTCTGCCTTTGAGTTAGGGGGCCTATAAATAACACCCACAAGTAATTTATTATTATTTACTACTACTTCAGACCAGAGAATCTCCATATTTCTAGAGTCTAGGTCTTTTCTTTCTGAAAAGTGTATACTCTTAGAAATGTATAAAGCAATGCCATCTCCGAAACGATTTCTATCTTTACGAAGGGGGGTATGATACCCAGTAATTAATATATCTTCATCACTGATAGAGTTATCTAAGTGGGTTTCAGATATAGCTATTATGTCATACTCAGAAAGTTCAGCTGATACAACATCCATTTTTGAAAGTAGACTACATACATTATTATGTGCTATACGCAAGTTTTGTTTAAATAGATTTGGTGGTCCAGGGTTTGTTTCCACACCAGACATAATCAAGTAATAAAAAGTAAGTACTCTTCGTTAATAATAATATACGTTAGTAGATCAGTACATACCTAATAAAACTCAATGTCCTTGGCAATCTAAGTAGACACATGCACTTAATCACAACTATCAAAAATGAAATAATGCTGATGAAGAAAACAACTGGCCTCGGACATTCCTACACTGCACACGTTACTTTTGAATCGGAAAAAAATAAAAGCATAGTAAGGCCATTCCAAGTTTTTTCTATGTTTAGCGTCCGCGTGCGCCTTGGTTTTTGAAACCCCATGCCATGTCAGAAAAAAAAAACAGAATCAGGAGTCCGAAAATTAATCATTCAGGTCAAAAATTGTGATTTTCGGCAATATCTCTAAATATTTTTATAATATTTCATAATTTGAATAGTTTCAATATTTAATACCTTGATTTTGCTCAAGAAAATAAGTTTATTTATGAAAAATGGATAAATAATATCTCTTGAATTATGTCATTCTTAATACTATAAAATATGTGTTTTATTTTTTCTTTTTGACTTGTGTGTTTTTTGCGAATAGGTAGCTAGGTTCTTGAAATATGGGTGGACGCTAAACAGAGAAAAAACTTGGAATGGCCTAACTGCCAAACCGGTATTGATACTGAAAAGCATCTTTCTGATGTCAATTTCAGAGTACTTGCGTGTACAATCAGAATGTTTTTTAACACAATAATTTTGCAAATGACCAGTGACAAGGTAAGTAAATTCACGAGTCCCATTTTTATCGAAAAAGCAGCTATCAATGATATCAAAAAGCCTGGGCTTTAATTTATCGTGGGGAATGGTTGTGTATATAAAGTTGAAAAGACGTAAGTTTTTAAGCTGTTGATTTTGGTAAAACCTTGTGATTTCAAATTGTCCAAAAGTTCCTTGGAATTTTTAAGTATCCACATCTGATTTACACCACTTCTTGAATATATACCGTTGCAAAGTACTCTTGAAGTTTCTCCTTCACAACAGTTGATATCTTAGTGAGGAGTAAAGAGAGAGACTTGGTTGAGCATTTACTGGAACCCGCTTTGTATCTTTGTTTGTAATGGTTTTTGTGAAGTTTCGGAATCCAATATAGACATGGTAGTTCAAATTTATTTAGGGTTTTGGGGGATCTTAAAAATATTCAGAACTGACATATGACTTTGAAAAATTTTTTCTTTAGAAAGGGAACACTGGGTGTAAGTTGGATTACCACTTGTAGAATTAAAGCCAAGTTCTTCTAAAATACAATTTATATAATGAGCCTTACAAACGAAGACAATGTTGTTACCTGCTTTGTCATCGGGACCAGTACATACTAATCATGTAATCTCTCTAATTTTTGTCACTTCTGAATACAGAAGGATAGATAGTTTTCATATAGCTCCTCAATCTTTTAATACGCAATCGTAACATAGATCTGATACATTTCATCCATTCTGACAAAGTGTCGTCTTCTTTTTCATATATGGCCCATCACCTGGCGTAATCTTCTATAGAATCCATAATATTTAAGATATTCAGTCGCCAGTTGAAGGATCAGGGTTCCCTATGTTTTGGACATTTTAAAATCATTGATATAAGGTCCTCATTATTAACTAAAATTACATCACTTGTAATAACGTGTCCAGCAGGACTTTAGTTATATGGTGAAGAAGAATATAAACACGATAGAGGATTATGTTTCAGATATTCGATATCCAGGCCCTGTAAAATTTTCTTGTAATCAAAAAGTGTGGAAGCAATAGTCGATGTATATTTTGCAAGACTGGACCTTTTGTGATAATATTAATGTATTTCTTTTTTCAAATTGTTCTTGTACAAACTTTTTAAAAAATCTTTTCCGCCGCCAGTAGTTTTGTTGAAATCAATTCCCATACTATTTCCTTGAGGCTGTTAGGCCAGTTTGACATACATTTGAAAACTTTGAGTTGCCAAACAGGCAACACATGAGTGTTTCAAACCCAAATGTTTAATTTGGCCTCCATTTAGTTCTCTTAATCAGTTTAAGATCGTTCTTGAGCAAAATATTTTTTCCTACTTATTCATTTGCTAAAATATGACACCCATTGTTGGCTATCCCTACCCCTGGGGGTCTTCATTTGAACTAATTTGATTTTACACTACTTAAGGATGCCTCCATATCAATGATTAATCAAGGTTTCTCTGTTCTTGAGAAAAATTTTTTTTCCTAATACATGTTCCTTTGTAAAAATTTGATCCCCCATTGTGGCCCACCCTACCCTCGGGGGTCTTGTGTTGAACAAACTTGAATTAACACTACCAGAGGATGCTTCCATATAAATATGACTTAATCATGCCTTTGCTGTTCTTAGAAAGAAGAGTTTTAAAGAATTTCCCTATGTATTCCTATGTAAAACTTCAATCATCCATTGCAGCCTTGCCCAACCCCCATTGATGATTTTAACATTCTTGAATCTAAACCAACTGACGATGCTTCCATATAAATATGACCAATCATGGCTTTGCGGTTCATGAGATTTTTATGGATATTTTCCTATATACGTATGTCTATGTAAAACTTCGATCCCCCATCCCACCCCTGGGTCATGATTTGAACAAACTTGAATCTACACTATCTGAGGGTGCTTCCATATAAATATGACTATTAAATCATGCCTTTGCTGTTCTTATAAAGAAGAGTTTTAAAGATTTTCCATATGTATTCCTATGTTAAACTTTAATCATTTAATTGTGGCCCCACCCGACCCTCGTGGGTCATAATGTGAACAAACTTGAATCTACACCAACTAAGAATGCTTCCATATAAATATGATCAAATACGGCTTTGCCGTTCTTGAGAAGATTTTTAAAGATATTTTCCTATAATTATTTCTTTGTAAAACTTTCATCCCCCATTGTGGTCCCACTCTACCCGTGGGAGTCATGATTTGAACAAACTTATATATCTACACCTCGTAAGGACGCTTCCATATAAATATGACCAATCAAGGCTTTGCTGCTCTTGAAAAGATTTTTAACGATATTTTTGCATGTCTAACATAACTTACATGAAAATGTTTAACGTTTATGACGACAATGGACAAATTTCGATCACAGAAAAAGGAGATTTCTGTTCATCTCTGTATAGCAAGGGTCATTAAGTTTGAGATATTTTTTTATTCCCACAGCATGCTTCATTAGGGTTATGGTTATCTTTCCTCTGATCTTATAAAACACAAACATTGCTGAAATTTTTTATACACGTTTATTACAATTTCATATAAAACATTCTGTAAAACAAAGGCTTTAAATTCCTAACTGGAAATGTAAACCTTTCTTTGAAATATTCAAGTAATATTCAGTCTAGATATTCTAACATGATGAACATAATGATGATTTTCAGTTCAGATGATACTCTTGTCTGTTAGTCACTCAAAATTATTGATATTCTTGCATATTAACAACTTATGCAAGAGTTACATGGATATATTGTTGTTAAAATATTTTTGCAAGAAATACACTGGACACATCAAATTGAAGTTACATAAAAAAAAAGAGGGTGTATGTATGAATTCAACAAAACATGGGAGAAAAATGAATAAAACATCAATGCACAAAGATATTTCATCAAACATTTGCTGTAAAGTTGATGATGTGTAACAAAAAAGTCATGGTTTTCTTGTGTTCAAATCAATGTGCCATGTCTGAAAATGTCACAAAAGTGGTCACAAAAAGTCAGTCTTGCATGGACAGAACATGACTGGAGTCTGGAATTCTAGCGCTCGTCGTGCTTAGAGCTTCCCTCCCTACTGACGCTCCTGGTGCGCCTTCTTGGTGGGGAAGAGGACCTGTAACCAAAATAAGCAGTTTCACATTTAATTCTACATTCTAATGCAATTGTTTTGTAAAAAACGTTTTGACTGGCTAGTGCACTGATGTATGAAGCAGTAAAACAAGCATTAATGAGACAGAAAGCTTTTCATTGCGACATCATAACAGGGCGACACAAAAAGACAATGCCCCGTGACACATTTCATGTGACAAAATTTAACAAAATAAGATGTTAACAACAAACAAAATGCAATGATTGCATTAAAATGGAAATTCTTTCAGCTTATGCGTCGCCGGTAAAAGTAAGTTTGCGACTGTTAAATCAGCATTAATGGTCGCAAATACCAAATTAGAAGATAGTTATTCCCTAATTCAACTTATTCAAGTATCTAACGCTGTAGTCCACTTGAAACTCAATCAAAAGATCTCTAACATTTATTTCATGATCTCACTACTATATAATCATTTCAAACAATATTTTTAAAGAAAATTTCTATTACAAATGCTTTTTAAAACACATTTTTTCATCTGAAGTTCCAAGATAATATAATCCTTAGGTAAATTTACGTAAAATGTTAAACTAAACTTTATACAATAAGATAATAAGCAGTGATAATTCTACAGTACTGCTTCATGACTGTAATGAGGACCTCACACTGACCTGCTCTTTGTCCTACTTCTGGTGCGGTACCTGGGTCTGCTGACACTCCTACTGCGAGATCGGGAATAACTACGTCTCCGTGGAGATCGGGATCGGGATCTGGACCGCGATCTGTAATGAGGCCAACAGCAGTTCATTTACTAAAATGTTAATAACTATATCAACTACACTCAACTGGAGACCTCAATAAAAACTCTTATCTGTAATAAGAAACAAAAGAAGGGGATTGGCATGGTGGGATCTTCAATTTTGAGTGGCACTGACTGAAAAATCTTTCATTTGGATAGGATACAGGAGTCCGATTTACAAATGAACTTACAACAAAGACCAAAATTTGGTTCTGTTTATAACTTTTTAATTTAAATACGATTAAAAAAGTTTTTTTATGTTTTTAAAAGGAATACAGATAGATATTTTTACGCTAGAGATTTTAAACAGACACCACTTTTGCAAAGTTTAATACTTAACAAAAGTTTTTGGTCTTAGTTGTAAAATCTTCTGTAAAATGGGCCACTATTTTTTTTTATGTTTATTTCAATACTTCTTAAACAGTTGTGTACAAAATTATTCAAGCAATATACGTTTTAAAATATTTAAGAGATAGACATTAACTTTTGTTGATCATGAGAATTCACTTGTAATTTTTTTTTTTTTGTGCATTCTGAAGTTGGGGATCTCTTTTTTGCCTTCTGTTTACATGAACTGTTTTAAATCCAGAACTCTAAATTGCACAATCTCATGAAACTCCTGGATTATTTCAATTTCACGACATTAATTCTTAGTTTTTACATTTATACCCATAAACACATTGAGAATTTTAAGGAGCATACATTTTCATTGTTTCTTTTTCTGGTATGAAAAATCCCAAATTCATTTCCTTCATGAAACATCAAAATTCCAATATCTTATAACTCAATCATCATCAACCAAAAATTGACTCCTCAAACCTTAAATTTTTCCTTAAACAACAAAAGTGTGTCCCTTTAAAAAATTAAAATCTGCATTAATTAAAACTATTTCTAATGATTTTAATGTTTCATTTGATTCCCCCAAATCAACTGTGTTCAACATAGTCATTTCATTGGGTGATCAAACAATAGTTAATGTCAACCCCCCCTTTTTTCCTTTAATTTTATGCTTCAATTTGTGCAATACTTGTACAAAAAACCACCATACCTTCTGAAACTGAAAAAGTAAAATGCATTCAATGAAGAATAACATACCCATTTGTTGTCAACAAGTTATCAAAATGCAGAAAGATCAAGAAGAGTCTGAAGGGGGAGAATCAGGTGGTGACTCAGTCTACCTTCAAATCTTATTGGCTGATCTGAAGAGGTATATCTATTCTCTCAAAATTGATTGGCCCATAGTGGTCTGGTGTGTTGAGATCTGATGTGAATCTACTCTCAAATCTGATTGGTCAAAGGTAGATGTTGTGAAGAGGAAGAAGTAAATCTATTCTCTGATCTAATTGGCCAATGACTGTCGATTGTGAGGAGATATCTAACAACTTTAACCGGCCAGGACGATCAGGTGTCCAAAGCAGGGTGTGAATCTATTCTCAAATCTGATCAAACCATGATAGACTGTTGTGATGAATGCAATTCTTGTCATCATGATCAGCTGAGGTGAAGATTCTCAGATGGGCCGTGATGGACAATGGCAGGGATGACTTAATCATTTCCGAGACAGGGGAAGCTACAATTTTGTGTTTTCAAGTTGAAAAAGGGGCTGTGAACTTGAAGATTCTGAGCACTTCTAAGAGAGGGTGCGGTTGAGCTCAGACATTGTATGTTGCAATCTAACTTGAAAACCGAGGCAGTCTAGATCATTTGCCAATGGTTCATGAGGATGTCTGCAATGCATTAGTGAAGATCTGTGTTATTATTGGCACTTATTTTTTTATATAAAAAGCTGTTAAAATTCGAATGCTATGTGCAATTAAAATATGAAACATGCATATATTGTACAATAAGGCTATTCAAGTATTTCATATAAAAAAAAATTGTCCTTGAGTTTTTTTATGCATGGTTCCAATGCATCTAACCTAAAATGTCCTTGAGCATATAATATGATAATTATCAAATGTCTGTTTCTTAAGACTTGCTCCATTATTTCCCCCTTGTAATCACTGAAAAAAAAATCTATAACTTGCACAAATCTTGACCCTTAGTTACCTGGATCTTCTGGACCCCCTATTGGACCTCCCTCTGCGGGTACAGTCATATGCGTAGTGACCTCTCCCACCACACTCATAACACTTGTCATCTGGATGAAAAGGTCGACGACCTCCCCCTCCTCCACCTGACCTTGGGGGTCGACCTCCACGTAACCACGGTTTGGGTCGAACTTTCCCTGTAGAGTGTTCTACTCGAACTCGGGATCCACATATTGATCTGGAAATAAAAAAAACACTTAGCTACTTGAATGTTGGCTCCTGTTATTTCAGATGTGGAGGGTACTAAAAACATAGTTAAAAAGGCTCTCTTATGAGCAAAAGGACACACAAACTCCTGTTAACACTGGTGTTCAATTAAGGTGTGAATCACCACCTCGTCCGTCTTATTCAGTTCATGCATTTTAATTTCTTTTGTTCTAAAAATCCACGCTATATTGATTAATAAACATTACATAGGAAATTTTAAAACATTTTTCTTAACTTCCACAATATGATTTCTTTACTATACCCAATTTACTACACAGGACAAAACTAATTTGAAATCAAGAACATTCAAGTCCTGTTTTATAAGTTACAAAGGCTTACGTTCCGTCCATCCCTCTCACTGCATCATCAGCATCTCTTGGATCTTCATATTCCACGAAGGCAAACCCTGCTGGATTGCGTGCAACCCAAACATTTCTCAGTCTGCCATAATATTCAAATGCTCTCTCCAAGTCCTTCTCACAAGCATCACGACTCAAGTCCCCAACATAAATTTTTCCTTCCAAGTTATTGTCCCTGTATCGAGACATCTGCAAGGAACAAAATATTCTGTAAATTATACACAACACAATTGGCCTTTTCTATTAAAATCTAACAAATTGTATTCATATCAGTTCCCTGAAAACTGAAATAGTTGGCATTGACTAAATCAATTTCTTTACCTGAATCCTAATGATCAAATAAAATTAAAGGACTAGAAGACCGCATCTATTTGAAAATCAGTCCAAAATTATGGCAAAATACTATGGCTTATCGAACTGAATCAAAACCCAACAAGTGATAATGTTAAACCAACAATCAAACAATTAATTAATTTGAAAGCCACTTTTATGTATCTTCATGCAAAGAAATATACACAGAGCATGCCAAAAGTGTCAGGTCCAGGAAAACACTATATTTAGCTACATAGCTTAATTTACCTATATAGCTTTTTTTACCTATGTAATATTGCTTTATTTAGCTATTTTAGAACAAGTTTCTGTTTTATGAAAAGCAGACAAAAAGTCGCATGAAAATTATGGCTGATATCTTTGTAAAAAGGTTTGATAAAAACAACCTAGGGCATAGATAGTAAAAACATTGCCTCTTTTAAACACTTTTTAACCAAAAAAGGCATTTCTATTGTTTGGATAGCTGTCCCTCACCAGTGTTTTCCCTAAGAACCGGCCAAATTGACCACTTCAATTGACAAATATGCCGCTTTGAAATAAAAATTTGTTGTAAGGTCCACAGAGATTTTGTTTATAAACCTCATACCCTAACCTGCTGAACTATTACAAATCAATTACCTTGTTGACCAAAACTGCTTTTCTTTGTTAAAGTAGCTGCTTAATCACAGATTAACTGTTATACATAGCCCCAAAACTTTTAGATCTTTGATTGCAATTGCACAAAAGGAGAAATATTTTTAAAAGTGGGTTTTTGGTGAATTGTTTTCACTTTCAGTCCATTTCAATGTTGAAAACTAGGCCTAATACTGCCTCATTAATGACATTATGCGACTTCTTGTCTGCTTTCCTTAAAACAGAAATTTACTCTGAAATAGCTAAATAAAGCTATATTAGAGGGCGGAGCCCTCTCACGGGCCCGAAGGGCCCGTGAGAGCGAAGCTCTCCCTATAGGTAACACGTATGTATATGAAAAATAAAAGAAATCTATTGAAAACTATATGTCATTTACGAATGCTGGACAACTCGCCCCCAAGACAAGTCGCCCCCAAGACAACTCGCCACCTTTTCAGGACAACTCGCCCCCAATTTAGGACAACTCGCCCCCAGGTTAAGATAACTCGCCCCCAGCTTTAAGAAAGCAAATTGGGGGCGATATTTTTTATATAAATGTATATATTTTTTATTTAATATATATATTTTCATATTATTTCGATATTTATTTTTATTTTAAATGTTTCTGGTGTCAGTTACGCTAAAAAATTGTACTCCTCTCCTCACGTGAGATGCCTGAAAAAGAAATATGTTTTAGATTAAATTCATCAATATTTGCATTTATGCTGTCATTTATGCCTATAACATTGCGCTTAAAAAAGGAGAAGATACGATTAATATAATTTTTTTCTATGAAATTAAAATGTTTATTTTTTATATAATATTAAATATATTTTTTTATTGAATTATTTGAATGTGATTTTATATTTTAAATTATTTGTTTCCAACTCAAGCTTTCTTGAATTCTTCATCACTTTAAGGTTTTAAGTTGCTTCGGAGCTTGGATACACCATTTTTTTTTTTATCAACTGTATATACGTAATTTTCGAGGCTTGCATGCTCTAATTCTTCATTACTTTAAAGCTGCTTTGGAGCTTGGACAAGCCAATTTTTGGTCAACTAAATATACATAATTTTCTTGGCTTGCTTGTCCTAATTGATCATCACTTTGAAGTTCCAAATTACGTGTGGTTTCATTAAAATTCTGCCTGATGTTTTCATTTCAGTTTTCATAAGCCGATGTCAATGGAATATCATTAATATGTCATTAAATAATTAAGATTGTTCAACTTAGAACGCTGTACTTGATTTACCTAGACATATTCTACAGATATAATTTTAAAACAATATAATGCATTTTTTGCTTTATTTCATAAGAAAAAAGTCTAAGGAAATAATAAATATTTCATACATATATTGTATTTACTTTATATATGAAAAAACCCAAACAAATAACAACATATTACACACACAATCGTAAATATTAATTTTATTTTACTTATAATAAATATCAATTATAAATCATAAATTAATTTTGCATTTAAAATATATTTTAGTGAATAATATATGTCGTTTTTTCCTTGCAATACACAATGAAATATAATGGGGGCGAGTTGTCTCTACAGTGGGGGCGAGCTGTCCTGAGTGGGGGCGAGTTGTCCTAAACTGGGGGCGAGTTGTCTTAACAGGTGTTGGGGGCGAGTTGTCTTGGGGGCGAGTTGTCCTGATTCCTCATTTACAATACCTATGGAACTGAGATTCTTGGCGACAATATGGCGTCGGCACAAATGGCGTCGATTTCATCCACGCGCAAATTCTCGTTGTTGATGAGACTTTCATCAAAGTAAAAAACATTCAATCCAAGGATAATGTGTAGTATTTGTTTTTTACTCAAAATCAAATCCATTAGTAATCAAACCCTTCCTACTTTCGTTTTAGACGTTTAGATTTATTTATAGTTCGCGCTAACAAGTAAAACGGCATTTGATTGGTCAGAATTTCCCTGAAGGCAGCGCTGTCGTCTGCACTATGGAGGAGCGGATCTACATGTGGCCCCTTTCACAAGAATATTTGTTAAATAAAATCTGCGAATAATAAATGTCTTCAGGATTATACTTTTCAATACATACCAAGCTAGAAATATAGAATTTTTTTTGACAGTACAGTATAATTTTTTGAACAGTTAAAAATGTTTTAAAAGTGTTAAAATAAAATATCATTTATTGAGTCTCAGGAGACTCAATAAGAGTGTGTGGATTTCTTTTTTTCTTTTCCTTTTTTTAAGGTATCCAAATTATTTATGAATATCTACTTGTACATGTATACATAAATATTTAGCCAATCTATGGAAGTCTGATTCTCATTTTTGTTGTGATTTTTTAAAATTTAATATTTTATTTTATAAAGTTTTTCAAATGACAAAATTTCAGTTTCTTATAAAGATCACTATCAAAAGAAAAATCTAATATGATGTATGCATTTAAAAAATTCAAAAAGATTTTTTTGACAATTGGAATAACATATAAAGCCTAAATTAAAGCAGGAAAAAATAAGTTAAACAGTGTATAATGTACAGTCTGGGGTAGTTGTTCAGTCTACATACATCTTTCAGTAAATGCATGAAAATATCCACAAAGTTATACAACTTCAAAGTGCAGTGCATGCTGTTAATGTATACCTATTTGTACACTACAATACTCAAATTTAATACACATCAAGCATATAAGTATAGTTTTCAATCCTAATACATGTGCTTATCTATTAAAAACATGAAGCAAATATTCAGAATCTTTGTTTGACATCGATAAAATATTCTATTCATAACTTATCAAAAGTGTACCCTATTATATTATTCACAAGTGTTGGTCTTGAAATTATATAATTAACTATTTATGATAAAGATACCAGAAAAAACTTTTAATTTCAACGTTTTTCCCACAGATATATAACTGTTTTCTATACGATTGTGTTAGATCTAGAAAATTCTAAAGACTATTTAAATCAGATTTGTTTTTTTTAAAATTGAAAGGTGAAATAGACATTTTTCATTAAAATAAAGAAAACCACTGGTTACCAATAATGTAAAATAAAAAGAAATAAATAAACAGAAAAAAAGATATATCACAACAGGGACATAGTATTAAATGTCCCTGATCATGCATCCTTTAGTTTCCATTTTTTTTTTCTTATATAAGGTGTGATGCTTTTATATTTTCAACCATTTTGCTACATTGTAGTCACAGTCAAATGTTGGTCTGATGATTAGATTCATCTAAGAAGTAGATCATCTGTCTGTAGTTTGGGTTCCAAGTTTGTCTTCTGATCTGGTCTTGACAATATTGTTCTTACTTTAGATGACATCATAACCATGGAATGGGAGTAATACCAGTTGAGAAATGACTCAATGTCTCTAGATAAGTGTTGTTAAATAAGCATATAAATCAAGAAGTGAAAGAAAAGGATTGATGCTCAGAAAAAGTTTATGAATTGATCTATTTTAGAACAAGTTTACTGTTATGTGTATAACTATTAAAGTTTGAGGTGTCGTTGGACCGAGTGTCTCACATTTCTTGGGCCCAGTATGTTGAATCCAATACTGGTCCAATCCATGCTCCTCTTTTTTCCCAAGATGTTCTTCAACTTTAAGTGCTCTGGCTAGACAACCATTCATCTCATAATGAAATATCTTAGTTTTCAGATTTATTAAGCCATTTTTTTTTCAAGAGAACTGAGTTCTTTTTAAGATTTTCTGACACTACCATAGACCTGTATGAAGTGAACCCATTGCTTTAGGTATATGCACTGACAATTTCAGAATTTAACTGATCAGCTAATTTATTATTGCTAGCGCTCTCGAGCGCTAGCAACTACGTTAGTCCAAATTCCTTGAATACGCATGCTCGGCCGCCATGGTCGTGCATTCTGGGAAAACTGTGAAAAACTACTACAGATAGACCGTACGATAACAATTTCGTTGTATCATGTTGTAGCATGAAATAACTGTTTATTCATTGTGTAACTTACACTTTAAAGATAACTCCATATTTCTAATATTTCAAATTCTGGGGGGTCTGATCTGATTGTTCTAAACAATGACAAGGGAGGTTGTTTTTTGTTTTGTTTTTTTTACATCTAAGCATAATCAAAGATAGATTCTAATTTCTGATTGGTCAATTCAGCCAATCTTACAAATACCAGAAACAAGCAAAAATTTACACTAAAAATAACGAATAAATCCATCATTTGTGTTTAAAAAATTCTGATGTGTATGGCTTTTAACCTTACATATCTTGACAAATATGACCCAAAAGACCAATTAAGCTACTTCACATGCGTTCCAAACTCTCTGGACTCTTTGGTACACGACATGCACTTTGAGCTATTTTCTATATTCCTTTCAGCTCCCATGTATTTTCTTTGCTACATTGCCAAGAAATTCTCTTCTTTAAATCAGCTCATACATGCAATGTCTCAATTGGCATCTTCCCCCCCCCCCCCCCCCCCCCCCCCTCTCCAGTAAAGGTTATATATGTTCCGTTGCGCCAAAACTCGAATAGGTCACCCCCCCCCCCCCCCCCCTTATTTCTTAACCTTTGTGTCTATAAAATACGCCTCACAGAACAATAATATCTTTACTCTCCAGCCTTGATAAAAATTAAAGAATTCAGCAAAATAAATCACTTGATCACGGATCTTCCTTTCTGTGTTTAAAAAATGCTACGGCGCTAGCTCACCTATCTTTTTAAAAGATAAACTTGTTAAACAATAAAATGTAGAAATTTTCTCTTCACGGCTCCGCCCTCACTAACGGTCACACCGTCTAACATATTATAAAGGTAAGTAAAGCTATAAAGGTAAATTCAGCTATATAGCTAAATATACTGTAGTGATTTTCCTGGATCTGAGTGTTGCAGGCTGAAACATGAGAAGCGTATCGTACCTTCAAAATAAAAAATTTAAGGTAAAGTATTGTATCTAATGAGCAAAGGACCAAACAGTATCTGCTTACACTCGATAAATGTAATTTTCTTCCGTTTTAGTTTTCTTTTCTCTCTGTCGGTAGGTCAACGTTTCGCCGTCTCAATCCAAAATGGAGCCAACGCGTGAGCGAAAATCACGTGACTTACTTTTTCTTCATAAATAAACTCATGAGTTATAAAATATTTCTTCTCTTTTCAAAATAATTTAAAAATTAAAAATCCAGTGATTAAATTTATTTAATAATCTTATTTTCTATTTTTTGCAGATTTTCATTATCACGTAAACGTTTAGGATATAGTGTTTTGACATATTAACTATTAAAGCGTCACATTAACGTTGATTTTAGGCGTGCACTTGCGGGGAAGAAGTAAGAACATTTGTTTTATTTTTCTCCCCATATTTCTCCAATTTTAGATGCGTAGTCTTAAGCTTTCCTTGCGTAATCAATATTTCTTTTACTTTAACTTATAATCTGTTCTAATATGCGTAACAGTGCATGATTTTAATTGACTACATAAATATGGTAGACCTAGAATTGATGTAGGACCAGGAAGATTTAAAAGATCCTGGCATTTATACAAATGACACTTTTTACACATAGAAATGGGAAGATCTAGATCAAGAAGTCGTAGTCGAAGCTATGATCGCAGACGCAGCAGGAGTGCCAGTTATGACAGCAGAAGCCCTTCTCCTGAGGAGGGTTACAGAATCCATGTAGCTGATTTGGGCATGGATCCCTCCAAGCGAGACATTGAAAGAGCATTTGAAAAGTTTGGGCCATTGGTAGAAGTATGGGTTGCAAGGAACCCACCATGCTTCGCATTTGTTGTATACAAATACAGAGAGGATGCTGACAAAGCTATTAGAGAAATGGATGGGAAGTAAGTCTTCTTATCATAAATGAAACTAGTTAAACTAAGTTATACAAGGAAATAATTAGTCCTTTTCGGGTACTACTAAACAGAGAACCCTAGAGAACTCTAGAGAACCTTAAAGAACCCTATTGATTTTAAATTATTTATTGTCTGTAAATGAAATATTTATAGTTTAGATAACTAATATGTCATGTTAAAACAAAATCAAATTTTAAAAAAAATATATTTTGACAAGTTTTTTGCTTATTTAAAAGAGTACTATAATCTCTTAAAACTTCAACATAGCTTTCATGATAAAACTAGTAAGAAATTAATTAATATTTTTAAGATCAGAGTAATTGCTTAAGAATTATACATATCATTAAAATTAAATAAAAAATAATGTGAAAATTGCGTGAGGCCATCCTTAAAAAAATGTTTGTTTGGAATTGCCGCCTGGGGGTTTTCAGACCCAGGAGGGAGGGAGGGATTTTATTTTTTTTATTTAAATTGAAGCTAAATGATAAAAAATGAAATCTCAATGAACAGTGGTAATTTCCATTTATTATCCTCTTTCTTTTATTTTATTAATATTTGGTCCGATTTTGAAAAAAAGATATACACAGAACGGTACTCAAATATTAATCTCATTTAGATGTTAAAATCTGTTCATTTATTAATAGTTAAATTTCAGCATCAAACTTCTAATTTATTTTGAGAAATCTTTATTAAACAATACTTTTATCAGTATATTTCGTAGTATTTCTTTTTGAAATTTACCCCTTTGTTAAGACAACGCTTGCAAAAAGTTTGAACTACACAAAATTTCTTAGGAATAGTTGGGATGTTTTGTGGAAAACCGGGAGGGGGTGCTTGGTACGTTCTCGAGTTTTCACCATGCATCAGTTTTAACATTACGTTTCAAAGACTTGTCATACTGACAGACAACATTTTTCCTTTAGTATTTGGAATAAAACGTTTCTGATCCATGTAATTTTTTAAGTGGGAACTGGACGATCATTTTTTTTTTCAACATGACGGACTTAACTTATCAAGTTCAACATGTTCAATGTGCAATCTATTACAATAGCTCTTTCCAGGTATCGATGTATCATTCCATTTAATTTTTTTATTCACCTTTTATCTTTATAGAGATGCATAAATGTTCTGCTCTTCAACACATCGCTTGAATGTTTCCAATATGGTCTGACATTTTGGCGGCTTTTATTTTGTCAAATCGCAACCTATAATTGCTATATCATAAATACTATGAAGAAAGCGTTTTATTGACCCGAGTTGTTAAATTAATGTGAGCTCAAACCCGACTTTTAAAAAGCTATTTCGACGAACGAACTAACTTGTACTAAACATTTAAAACAACGTAAGACGATAAAACGATAAAAAAAATATTGTTAATATTTTGCCAATAAAATTTTTTGAGCGGGGGGTATTTTAATGAGGCTGGCAGCAATTCCAAACAAACTATAATTTTATTTTGGCCTGATAAAAATTTTTATTGCGATAAACAATGTTTTTTTAAAGTCAATCGGGATCGGGATGTCAAAAAATATTTCGCCATCTATTTTGTTACGTTTTTCCGATGAAAACTTCCATAAAATAACTTTCTAATTGATTTTATGTATAAAATACTATTTATTTAATACAAATCAACTCAATTGCGCATAAAACATATAAAAATTCACCATATAAACCTAAGGTTCTCTAGGGTTCTCTGTTTAGTAGGACCGGTCCTTTTCCTCTGATTAAAGAAATTATTTTTTGGATTAAACATTGCAGTGTCATTTTATGCATTCCCATTGCCAGTAAACTGAATATTTCAAACTAAAAGTTGTGCTGTATATGGCCTTTTTTTAAAGACCTCTTGCAGGAGGAAGAGTCAGATGCTCATTTGCACGACCAAGAACAAGAGGAAGAAGGAGGAGAGGGTTTGATCCAAATTTACGGTGTTATACTTGTGGAGAGAAGGGTCATTTTTCCAGGGACTGTGTTGAAATTTGGAGACAAAGGCGAAGAAACAGAAGTCGGTGTGTACAGTTCTCTAGCCATTCACTAATTATGTTTAATGAAATAATTATTTAAACAATATATATTTTTCAATTTTTCTTTCCAATATGTAACTAGATTTTGTTTTACACTGTGTGATCTTATATGTGTTTAATTTTCAGGAATCGGAAAAATATTAATTTGAGAGTTTAATCCGTTTTCCCCTTTAAACTTAACAATTCCACAAATTAAAAAAATCCTTTCACACTCCATGGTTGAGGGTTCATTATGTCTGATCAATATTTGTTTATTGTTTACACAGATAAAAATTTGTTTTATTAAGAATGGATGTCTAAAACACCTTCTTCAGTCAAACCCAATTTTGAGAAAATAAAAAAAGAAAAGAAACCCTGATTTGGAACCAGCTATTATTATGAAAATGAGCTTTGTGGCCTCATTGCCATTTACCTAGATAATTGTTTGTTTTGTTTATATGCAGGCCAATTGTGTTTGGGTTCTGAAGACATTTTTCAATTTTCAAATAAACTTTTCCCATTCATCTATGTCTAAATCCATACCTCTTATTTACCAACTTGCAATTCAAATATCATCATCAATGAAGTAGTATTTTTGGCAGGAGTTTATCAAGTTCTTGATTGTAAATTACATTGTCATTCAAAGAGCAAGAGGATGAGAGGCATCTTCACTAGCAGAACCAGATATTTTTAGTCACTCTGAAAAATGGGTAACCAACATGAACATATTTCCTCTTTCAAAACTTTTTGCATACTAACTACCTCACAAGGTAAAGAACAAAAATACCACTTTGCACTTACTAACAATTCCATTATCATGAAAAAAATGAAAAGAAAAAAACTGTTTAACAGTGGAAATTATCTGAAGAATTCCACTCCATTTATGACTCTCCGTAATGTTTTTATCAGGCAAGTGGTAATGGTATATTGATTGTGTTGGCAAAGAGTTGGCAATGGCTTGAGTTGATGATGGTGGTCCGCCGCGAAAATTTTGCGGATCGGACCTTTCTCTAAAGTGTGATTGGTTGATTATGGTCAACAGCCCTGTGTTCAGGAAGTGCGCCCCCTGAAAAAATAATGGTGCGTCCCTCTGTGGTGGGCATTGAGTGGTATTGAATGTAGGCCTGTGTATAAGAAATAATGTGATATATTGCTATTAGTCAAAAGGGGTAAGTATTGTGTTTATGGAAAAACAAACTTAATTGTAGACAATGACATTAAGTGTTAGATTGTAAAGTCATTTATCCATGCCATTATTTTACCAAAAGAATTAAATATTATGCAAGAAACCTCATTTTCCTCTCATATTCTAGAAATTCTTCCATTCAAACCACAGCATGTAAAGCTTTTTAAATGCATGATTATCTTTGCTGGTGCTGGCCTCTTTTAAAATTCTTCAAGAATTGTCAAGTCAGTAGTATGTTCATTTCAAAGAAACCAGTATACAGGTATTGAACAAAAAATATAGCTTAATGTACATGATTTTCCAAAAAAAACAGCAGGTTACCAGATCTTCATGAACAGGAGACCAAAATTTACAGGGGCTTGGAGCATTTATTAACGAATCTGGATGAATTAGTAATTAAGTATGCCACCATGTTATGCCTTAAACTCTCAAAATTTATAGAAGAATGATATAAGAGTTTGATCCTTTCAGGGATTTAATTTGGTTATATCCCCTTCCCTTTCAAAAAAATGTTCATGACCCCAAAAATTGATGTGATGAAGATATTTTTTCTATATAACAGTAGATATGCATATTACATGTAATTTCAACATTTTCATTCATTTCACTCCTGCTTCACTCTTTGATACCTATTTCTTGTATTTACAGAGATCGCCGAAGGAGAAGAACAAGGTCTCATTCCAGAAGTGGGTCAAGGTCAAGAAGAAGCAGGTCAAGGTCAATTACATAAATTATGTATACAGTAAAACTCGTTTAGTACGAACACGGATATAACGAATTCACGGATATAGCGAAGTTTTTCTGGGTCCCCGGCAAAATTCTTAACAAATCTTTGTGAAATTTTACGGTTATAACAAACTCTGATATAACGAATTTACGGATATAGCGAACTCATTTTGAGTCCCGATGAGGTTAAATATAATGAAATTTACATCTTTTATAACGAACTTTCAAAGATCTTAAAATTTGCTAAATTGAATTGACTTCATTTTCTTGTAGCATTTGAATATAAAATTCAATTCATAATAAAACCTTAGTTAGTGACGGTATATTTTGTAATATTTGCTTCAATAACATAGTGTAACGGGGTGGGGGGGGCGGACGGTACCTCTCCTACTACTGCTGGGACCGCCGTCTCCCTCACTCTATCTATAGGGGCTGTCTTATCTTTCGTGGCAAGGCTTGCGTTACACAGCTCAACCCGAGCTCAGGAGGGCTAGTATGGAACAGTGGTTAAAAACTCAATACTCTTTAATCTTATATCACCACACACTAAATTATCTCCCTTTAATCAATGAACTCAGATAATACACCACTGCCCAAAACCTAAACCTCCTTTTATTAACCCGCGCTCTCTAAGTTACACTAAATTTATTAATACACGAAATCTCTCTGTTTTACTTCTCTATTTTTCAAGCTTGTTACAACCTAGATCTAAGGAAGTCACTATAAATTCTCTAATACTCATTTATTTCATTAATACTCATTTCTTACTCTTTTAAATCCCACAATTTCCATCTTGTTGGAAAATCACACTTTGATAAAACCTTGTAAATCTCTGTACTTGAAATGAGACAAAATACAGTTTTACAATTTATTATAATAATTATCTCTCAATTAAACAATCAACAAACAAATTCTAAGTTCTGTCTCAGTCTGTCTGTGTCACCTATTAGTCCTGACTTACCTAAAACCAACCTCAATACAACTCACAAAACTCCTAATTCTCAGAACTTCCTTCCAGACCTCCTGGATGAAAGTAAAAACCAATAACTAAAACTTAATCCCTTAAACCTAATTAATTCCTAACAAATTTCAAACACCAGTAATTCCTGCAAATTTCCTAAGTCTGAATTTCAGTTTAAAACAGTAGCAAAATTTAGAAATACACTAAGCTTCCTTAGCTAAATGTATAAATTACCTAAACAATTTCAAGTAATTCTAAAATTTAACAACAATTTACCAAAAATTCAAACAATCATCAAATTTTAACCAAGTCCAATTCTCAGTTAAAATTCACTAAAATCTGACCAAAACTTCCTATAAAATTCTACAAATATTCCAAAAGTTCCTAAATATCCTTAAACTAACCCTGGCTCTTCTTAAAATAAAACTAAAAAGTCATTATTAAATCTAATTTAAAAACGCCCAACCCATACTAACTCCTTACCCCTAAAACACGACTTCTCTAAACAAACCAACCTAGCAGAAGAGCAAAAATTCCTTGAATCTCTCTCTTTTATACAAGAACATGACGTAAATGTTGGAAACTGTTGGACTCACTGGAAAACGTTGGAGAATCTCTCGTGACATTTCCCGTAAAATGCAAAGTCTATAGAAAAATCTAATAACAACATACAAGACAACTTTTCTGAATGAAAGTAATCTCTAAATACATTCTTCAATTAGAATAAGTAAATTAATCTCTAAATCAACAAATAACACAATTAACTCCAAAAATCCTAAAACTATCGTAACTTTTACGATCGGGCTCGACCTACACAATTTACGACCGCCAAGTTCGTAAACAAATCTACCAGTTTGCAACAGGACATTAAACTGCCAATAATTAACTGAAAACAAGTTAAACTTCAAGAAAACATGATTTCATCTATAAATCTATGGTTAATCTTCTACAGAAGACCAATTAAAGTACCTGAAACATGAAGTAAGCTAAAATAACAGCACAACTTTACTACTGCCATGATCAGCTGATTTCTACGTAACTCAAAACATGTGCACAAACTATTTCAACTCATGTAAATCACTTAAACTTGTCAATAATCACCTATCAATTACATGCAAAGCATAAATTAATACATATTCCTGCATGTCAAGTAACTATAACACATAGATTAAAAATTCATCTCAACTCTCCTACAAATGTCAACAATAATCAGGTTCAATAACTCTGTATAAAACTTATCTGTCAAATCTCTGGACCGTTACACTACCCTCCTCTCAAAATATTTGTGTCCTCACAAATGACTTATCTCAAGTAAATGTCAAATCTAAACATTAAGGTCAAAGTGTCTACCTTACAATGTACAATCATCAATACATTATAATATTATGACATAATATCTGAAATAAGAACTTTGGCTATAATTTACACATATCAATGCTTTAATTTACCGTCCTTTATTCTTTCCTAGAATAGAATATCACTTAGCACAGTTCCATTTAACACAATTCCATTTAGCACAGTTCCATTTAACACGATCACGCGCAGTTCCTGGTCCTTCTCATCAAGGCATCGTCTCGTCAGATTACTTCTTCCCGTCAAGCATCACTGTCTGGTCCTATGGTCCATCTCTGCTTGGCTCATCATCATCACCTCATACCATCATGGTAATCGTCAAAGCTGTAAAACGTTTACCTTTGTGTTCTCCTTATGTGGATCCTCTGTGAATGATGGGGGTCTTGCTCCACCAATGCCCCCTTCTCCTGTCCCCTTCATGGCGAGATTCCTGATGATTCCAACGTTGGTTTCCCACTGCACAGGTAAGGCTGTGGTGAAGGTTCCATCGTTGCCACCATAGACAGTGGATTTTACAGATGGCAGTAAGTACAGTCTCTTCACTGGCACTGCACCATAGCCGGTATCCTTTCCTTGACTTTGAGGTAACATCAATATGTCTGATCCTAAGTCAAACTTCTTAGTTTTGTCTTCTTCATCTCCCTGGATGATCACGGTGTTCACCTCTTCCTCAGAGATTTCCATGCTGATTCTACTACCCATAACTTCATCATTATTCTCAACAACATTATCTGCCATTGTCTCTGGATATCTAGCAGCAAACTTTTCCAACGGTTTCACTGTAAAACCTTTTGACACTTCACTAAACTCATCCTCTTCTCTATCAACAAGTACTGGTACATCCACAATCATTTCTGATTTGGAGGGAATCTGATAATCTTCCACAGCACAAACTTTCCCCAGTGGGCTGGGTTGATGGTTCTGTATGCAAGGGATGGGACAACTATTCAACAGGATGACACCCTCATGGAGATTAATGATGGCTGGTCCACCTGGACCCTTCATCAGCACATCTAATCCCAATAAAGCTTCATCTTCAATTTCAGCAACGACTAATTCTTCCTCAAACTTCAATTCTCCTAACTCAAACTTGAACTTGGCTTTCCCCATCTCCTTCAGAGGTTGGCCATTTACACTGGTTAACATGTAAGACTTCTCTAAGTGGGGTCGTACATCCTCAGGGATCTTCCTGTAGGCCCGGTCTGACAGCACCGTCCGGATTGCTCCTGTGTCGACTGTGAGCATGACCTTCATGCCTTGAATCCTCCCTTTTATGTAGATGCCCTCACTCCTCATGAGTTGTCTTGCAATTTGTGTGATACCTTGATCACCAAGGGTGGTTTCTCCTGTTGGTTGTGTTGTCTCCTGCATTTTCCTATGACCGTTATCTTTCCCATCAGTTTGGGTCACTCCCTGGTCAACAGGAGTGACCCTCTCTAGTTTGACGACAAGTGGGTCAAATTTGGAGAGTAACTTTGTAAGGTTACATCTCCACTTCGCTGGATATCATTGGATGGTTGATTGGCAGTACTAAGAGTACTCTGTTGGAATCTCCCTTCATTGTTATGAGTTTTCTGTTGATTCCTCTGTGGACAGCTCCTGGCAAAATGTCCGTTTTGGCCACAAGCAAAGCAAATTCCATTATTTACTCTGCTTGTTTGAGGATCTGCTTGTCCCTTGGGTGCTGGTAGGTTACCATGGTAAGGTGATCTTACATTGAAGGCACTAGTGGGATTTTCCCTCCTCCCTTGCCATTGGTTGGAATCAGATGATCTCTCTGTAGACTGTGTCTGTAATTGAGATCTGATTTGTTCCTCTACCAACTGCTTTACCAGATTTTGAAGATCTCCTTCCTGTATGGTGATGGTCCTTGGAGCACCTGTTTGGGGTTTCTGTTGTGCAGACTTCCATGCTGTTGATTGCTTTTCCTGTGGCTTTACTGATTTCTTAACAGGTTTCTGCTTGACTGGAGCATTGACCTGTCTTGTGGGTTTCTTTTCCTTCTTGTCACTGTCTTCTGGATTATGGGGATATCTGGTGGTCTCCAGGTAATGTACCACATGATATACAGCATCCTCGATTGTCTCAGGCTCCTTATTCAATTCCACATAAATCCTTGTCTTCTGGTCTCGAAGTCCTAGGAGGAATCTCCTTAACAAATCCTCCTGTCTGATTGAGATGCCTCTGTTTTTGTAAGCTTTATCATACAAACGTTTAAGCTCAGCAGCATACTCCTCGGCTGATTCACCAGGCTGTTGGTTCCTGCGGGTAAACTGCATTATGTAGAGTTTGGTAGTCTCAACTTCACCAAATCTGCTTTGTAGCTCCTTCAGTAGGCGTTTGTAGTTACTTAGGACTGAGGTGGGTAACTGTCCGTATGCAAACTCCCCAGCTACTCCTTGTAGCCTTGGGAGGATTTCACGCAGTTTTTCCTCCTGTGTCCAATGCTCAATATGGGCGACAGCCTCAAATCTGTTGTACCAAACTTCCCATTTTTCAGCCTTTCCTGTAAAAGCTGGTAACTTCACATTTGATTTCTGGCCTTTGTGGGTTGGTTGGAAAATTTCACTGGTCCTGACACTGCCATTTGATGACCGTCTCCTGGGTATTGGTTCTATCTCTTCCTCTGAAGATGAGGGGGATTGATACTGGTCCCTGGGTGTTAACTGGGTTTTCCTCCTCCGATGTGCCATGCTCCTCGCTAGGCGGTCAGAGGACTTGCCATTTTCCAGGTTTTCAACAGCATGGGCAGAATTCCGTTGGTCGGTGAATCCCGCAAAGGCTGTCTGGATAGCTGAGATCTGATTCGTCATCTCCTTCAAGGCTCCTTTTATTTCATTAAAAATACCAAGTGAATTGTCTCCCGCATCGTTGGAAGAATTTCTTGTAGGAGTTGGTTCTGTTAGATCAGCGTTTCCCAACCTCCTCCGTAATCCAGGTCTTCCAACATGCCTCAATGGTGTAGGCCTTCTCACTTCATGTGGATCTGTCTCTCGCCTAATGCTTGGTAGTGATGGACTGCTTCTCATATGGACTTCAGCTCCAACGTTGATTTGTGGTCTGACAGTATTTGGCATGTCATCTTCCTCAGATGACCCAAATTCATTTGCTGTAGTTTCATAATCTGTTTCTCCTTCAGTGACAGTTAAGGCTTCAGTGTTCATCTCATCATCTGTAATCTGCTGTATCTCCTCATGATCAGCCTGACTTCCCTCACGTCTAGTTGTTGAGGCTTGTTGTCTCCTCTTCACCATTTTTGTAGTTAGAGATGTTCGTTTCACTGGATTTGTGGTACCAACACTCCTTGGTTGGAAGTACAAATCCTACCGGCGACGCCAAGTGTAACGGGGTGGGGGGGCGGACGGTACCTCTCCTACTACTACTGCTGGGACCGCACTCCCTCACTCTATCTATAGGGGTTGTCTTATCTTTCGTGGCAAGGCTTGCGTTACACAGCTCAACCCGAGCTCAGGAGGGCTAGTATGGAACAGTGGTTAAAAACTCAATACTCTTTAATCTTATATCACCACACACTAAATTATCTCCCTTTAATCAATGAACTCAGATAATACACCACTGCCCAAAACCTAAACCTCCTTTTATTAACCCGCGCTCTCTAAGTTACACTAAATTTATTAATACACGAAATCTCTCTGTTTTACTTCTCTATTTTTCAAGCTTGTTACAACCTAGATCTAAGGAAGTCACTATAAATTCTCTAATACTCATTTATTTCATTAATACTCATTTCTTACTCTTTTAAATCCCACAATTTCCATCTTGTTGGAAAATCACACTTTGATAAAACCTTGTAAATCTCTGTACTTGAAATGAGACAAAATACAGTTTTACAATTTATTATAATAATTATCTCTCAATTAAACAATCAACAAACAAATTCTAAGTTCTGTCTCAGTCTGTCTGTGTCACCTATTAGTCCTGACTTACCTAAAACCAACCTCAATACAACTCACAAAACTCCTAATTCTCAGAACTTCCTTCCAGACCTCCTGGATGAAAGTAAAAACCAATAACTAAAAACTTAATCCCTTAAACCTAATTAATTCCTAACAAATTTCAAACACCAGTAATTCCTGCAAATTTCCTAAGTCTGAATTTCAGTTTAAAACAGTAGCAAAATTTAGAAATACACTAAGCTTCCTTAGCTAAATGTATAAATTACCTAAACAATTTCAAGTAATTCTAAAATTTAACAACAATTTACCAAAAATTCAAACAATCAGCAAAATTTAACCAAGTCCAATTCTCAGTTAAAATTCACTAAAATCTGACCAAAACTTCCTATAAAATTCTACAAATATTCCAAAAGTTCCTAAATATCCTTAAACTAACCCTGGCTCTTCTTAAAATAAAACTAAAAAGTCATTATTAAATCTAATTTAAAAACGCCCAACCCATACTAACTCCTTACCCCTAAAACACGACTTCTCTAAACAAACCAACCTAGCAGAAGAGCAAAAATTCCTTGAATCTCTCTCTTTTATACCATAACATGACGTAAATGTTGGAAACTGTTGGACTCACTGGAAAACGTTGGAGAATCTCTCGTGACATTTCCCGTAAAATGCAAAGTCTATAGAAAAATCTAATAACTACATACAAGACAACTTTTCTGAATGAAAGTAATCTCTAAATACATTCTTCAATTAGAATAAGTAAATTAATCTCTAAATCAACAAATAACACAATTAACTCCAAAAATCCTAAAACTATCGTAACTTTTACGATCGGGCTCGACCTACACAATTTACGACCGCCAAGTTCGTAAACAAATCTACCAGTTTGCAACAGGACATTAAACTGCCAATAATTAACTGAAAACAAGTTAAACTTCAAGAAAACATGATTTCATCTATAAATCTATGGTTAATCTTCTACAGAAGACCAATTAAAGTACCTGAAACATGAAGTAAGCTAAAATAACAGCACAACTTTACTACTGCCATGATCAGCTGATTTCTACGTAACTCAAAACATGTGCACAAACTATTTCAACTCATGTAAATCACTTAAACTTGTCAATAATCACCTATCAATTACATGCAAAGCATAAATTAATACATATTCCTGCATGTCAAGTAACTATAACACATAGATTAAAAATTCATCTCAACTCTCCTACAAATGTCAACAATAATCAGGTTCAATAACTCTGTATAAAACTTATCTGTCAAATCTCTGGACCGTTACAATATTTAGTAGTAATATTTGAAGAAAAAAATTCATATTGCGAACTCGCTATAAATGTTTATACGAATTTGTTATACGGATATAACGAATTACGGATATAGCGAATTAAATTCACAGGTCTCCTGGACTTCGCTATAACCGAGTTTTACTGTACCTATATTTTTAATATTTTTGTTCTTTATCATGTGTATCCCAAATAAAAATCAAATTGTTGTGTATCTTGTTTCATTTAGATGACTGATGTTAAGTTTTTTCATTGATATCGTAAACATAATTAGTATTTTGATGTTTTATTTAGCAATGGCATTACGCATCTTTCATAAACAATACAATAAACATTAAATAAACAAAGCTGCAGATTGGACATTTGTGACCAGTTAAGAAATTTATGATGTACAGTACTAAATTGTTTTAATAAACTTATCTTTCACTGTTTCAGATCCAGGTCAAGAAGAAGGGATAGGTAAGCTTGTACTAATCTTATGATTTCAAACAATCTCGTATATTAATTAATCCTGTGAATAGCAAAAAAATGTCTGTATATTTGGCATTTTTGAAGTCAAGTTACAGTAATATATACCCAAAACATAAAGCAATTAAATTTCAAAAAGACAAGGAAAGTTGCACCAATTTTTTTTATTCCTTGTGGTCCTTGGCTTTAAATACAGCAAGGTTCTTATGGGTTTCAGAATATTTATACCTTGTTATTTATTTTATTTTAGGTCAGGTTCCAGGTCTAGGAGCAGCAGGTTTGTATTAAACAAAACCAAATTATAAAATTGTAGCTTGCCTATTTTATTATGAGGATGGCATTTTTGACTGGGTTAAACAAGTTTTCTTCATTAAATTCTAAATGGAAACAATAATTATAATTGCTTGAAAAATAAACTTTTGATATTAAATTTTCATACAACTTTTAAAATTTGCATAAAGGATGTAATGTTATGACCATTTATGTGGACTTTGTTGTCAGTTTTGCTTTTTAAAGCTATTTTTATTAAGTTGAATGTGATTTCTTTGTAGAAGAGACAGGGACAGAGAGAGAAAATCCAGGTCAAGGTCACCGAAACGTGAAAAAAGGAAAGAGTCCTCCTCCAAATCTCCACGAAGAAGTCGAGATCGCTCAGATGATAGAAACGACAAGGAGGGTTCTGACAAGGAGAGCCCTCCAAGAGCAGACCAGGAGAAAGTTCTGGATGAGATCAGGCCCTCGCAGTCCCGCTCTCGGTCCAGGAGTGCCCCAAGGTCAGAGAGGTCAGCATGTTCTGGAAGCAGGAGTCCCCCTCTAGGGAGGGAGGAAGATGAGGAAGACTAAGGAGTACTGGACCAGGCACATTGGTTGTTGTTAATCTCTTTGGACTGAGAGGAAGGGTACTGGACCAAACTGATTGGTTGTTGTTAATCTATTTAGTGTATTTTATCCATTCAATGTTTATGTGTAAGAAAATCATGATTCTTTATGATTGTATCATTAAATATGAAAAACATACAAAGGATTTGACTGTTTTTTGTGCTTGTCAGTTACAAATACCTTCAGTTTCCCCAATGGAAATCTCTGTAGATGTATCTTCATCAGTTTATGCAGTTGAGTGTCTTAAAATCTGCTGGCTTCGCAGCACTGTTAAGGCCTACTATGAGAAATCAACGGAAAATAGACGCGCAAAAAGTGGGTTTTTTTAAAACTGGATTTATTTTAATTAAGCTGTTTTATTATCAAAGAACTTACATACTAATGGAAATAGCATAGTATAACCCACTCTTTACTGTATGAAGTTTGGTCCCATCGATGGACAGTCACGTGATGAATGCATAATATGTCTACTGAATGTAGGTCATTAACAAATTTCAATATTGCAAGGGCATACCCTAGTTGAAGTTAAAAACTCCAGCTATTAATTGTTTCTGCATACTTTGTACTTTCTGAAAATGTTGCTGCATTGAATAGAATTCGCGTTTTAATAGTTAAAATTTCAAGTAAATGGGCCAATGTCGAAATATGTTTGACTTTTACCAAATATTTTGTGTACTTATAAAACCACGCTCTCGATTTAAAGAAAGCAGCAGCACTTTTCAAGTTAAGGAAAATATCCTATATCTATATTCAAAAAATGGTTAAGATCTATTCAGTGTATGCCCTTGCGAAAGTACAATTTTATGAGGCATCTCGCTGTTAAATATAGGTAACCTGTACATAATAACACGACATGATTAATTAAATACATTCTCTTGATAGTTAATGAATAAATGCAATAAACATAGGATATACATTGGTATTAATCGACCATTTGAAACCTGTATATAATATTCCGTTTAATAATAAAATGCATTTTTCATCGTTTACCAAAATGACGTCATGATTGACAAGTTCATCAAGATCAGTGATTTGTTTATAACCAGCTACTTAGGATTTAACTAGCAACTTTTTTTAATGCATTAATAAGTTTTTTTGTTGTTTATAATGCTAATACAGTTTAAAGTTGCAAATCATTTCATTTTCAGGTATTTTGAGGAATACATAAAAGTCATATTTTTGTGTGACGTCACAGTAAACTTTTCCCTTATAAATTAGGCCCCGCCCCATTTTTTCAGCCTTAACAATGCTGCGATTGGATTAACGATGTATGAAATAAGTAATGCATCTATTTATTGAAGGATCAACGTTCATTTGGTTCTGGTATTAATGTGATATGATAAAAAATTTTCCATCACTTAGTTCAAGGTAAGATTTTAAGTCGAGATATATAATGAGAAATACTTCAACAGGCCAAGCTTGGGACAGCCCTACACTGAGCTGCAACAAAGATTTGCTTTTGTATGCACATAAAAAAAAATTCACAACAAAATTTGTTGTAAAAATTTGTAAATTCAATTTTGATATACATGTATAATATATGTATTGCTAAAACACACTATATCTTGAATTTCCCCAGTGAATACATGTATACTTATAATAAATTCAAAATCATGCACTGCAAACCCAGAGACAAAATGTATGACAACAAAGCAAAGGTTTAATTTTCTGAAATGTGAATCAAATATGTTGGTACCTAAAGAAGCCTTCTCACAAGAAATACAAATACGAAATATAAAACCCTAGCAACGCCTCTTCAAAAGGTTTGGCCAGTCAAACTTTGGAGTCAAGGGTCAAGGTTGTTGGTTTCTAAAGAAAGGCCTTAACACAAGGATTACATATGCAAAGTATGAAAGCTCTTGCCGTAACCGTTTACAAGTCATTACCAAGGTTAAAGTTTTTAAATAGTAGGTCAAGGTCAAAGGGTCAGAATTTTGGTAACCAGTAAAAGGTCTTGATATAAAGAATAGAATACTTATTTGAAGTATTAAAGCTTTAGTCCTTGCCGTTCAGAAGTTATCTCCAAGGTCAAAGTTGTTGGTATTCAATGTACGTAAGGTCTTGTCACAAAGAAGACATATGTGAAGTTTGAAATCCCAGCCCCTACTGTTCAAAAGTTATGGTTAGTTAAAGTTCTTTTTAAAAGTAGGTCAATCTCCAAGGTCAAAGTTGTTGGTATCCAATGGAAGGTCTTGGTAAAAAGAATATATATGTGAAGTATGAGAGTCCTAGCACCAACCGTTCAAAAGTTATGGCCAAAGTAAAAGTTTTCGATTTTGGTGTAAAAGTGTGTCAAACTCCAAGGTCAAAAAGTCAAATTTGGTGGTACCCAAAGAAAGGTCTTATCACAAGGAATATACATGTGAAATATGAAAGCCATAGCCCCATTGACAGTCAAAACTTTTGGGCAAGAGCAAAGTTTTGCGAACAAACAGACAGACAGACGGACAGAAAGGGCAAAAACTATATAACCCCGAATCTTCGGTTACGGGTGCATAAAAAATGAAACTCTCCAAATAAAAACTTGTTATTTAACCTTGTAATAAGAAATGTGTATCTAGAACCAGTAAGATAAAAAGCTATCACGTTTGATTATTAATTTGCTCTCCGAATTGAGCTTACCACTGTAAATATGAAAACAAGACTTTATGAAAGAAGCCATTGTGCACCTCATTTTACTTTTAGCATCTCTAGATACAACAAAACATCTAGATTATAACCATATATGAATCCCTTATAAGCAAGTTGCTGTATAGCACTAACCTTGTAATAAGAAATGTGTACTGTTCCAGTAAGAAAGTCATATATGATATAATTTGTAAACTATATATTTCATATGCTAAACAAGACTTTGAAAGAAATTGTACAGTCATTAATTACTAGTATAGCATCTCAAGATACAATCTAGATTTCCTTGTATATGAATCCCTTATAAGCAAGTTGCTGTATAAAAGACAAAACAAAATCATTCTATATGTGAAGAGTCTGTTTATTCGTTTTTGATGAACTGTCCGTCCCACCACCTGTCATTTGACGTCTCATCATGGACGTCCTCAGGGAGGGACAAAGCTGGCTGGTCCTTAGACTTCGCCATTATTTCAGCCTCCATTTTTCTCTGTTCCGTTCTACTAGCACAGCATCTGCAAAACGGCGAAATTTCAACATTATTTATGAAATACTAGTACACATGCATATAAAGTTATGATATTGTTTTTTGCACAAACTTTATGTTTTTGCTTTGTAATCACATTTTGGTTTCTTCTTCCATAAAAAACAAATGGTTAAGAATCCCCTTTCCTCTATAATTTATTCCAGTTATGACCCCCCCCCCCCCCCTCGATTCCTCGTGAGTTTCTTAGAAAACTCATATATCGAGGAAAACGTTTTGAAATTTCCATAAAATGTATTTCCCTCCCTACAAAGACGAACAATATATTCAAGTTTGGGATTTTCAACGAAAGAATTTCTAACGAATAATATACACACATGTAATATGGAAGCGTATTAGTGCCACGCAATATTTTTTTAAGTTAGTAATTCCAACTTTTAAGTTGGAAATTCCAACTTTAATCTAGGCTTTTCCAACTTTAAAGTTGGTAATTCCAACATTAATCTTGGCTTTTCCAACTTTTAAGTTGGAAATTCCAACTTTAAAGTTGGTAATTCCAACTTTAATCTTGGCTTTTCCAACTTTTAAGTTGGAAATTCCAACTTTAATTTTGGCTTTTCCAACTTTAAAGTTGGTAATTCCAACTTTAATCTTGGCTTTTCCAACTTCTAAGTTGGTTTTTCCAACTTTGATCTTGGCTTTTCCAATTTAAAGTTGGTAATTCTCACTTTAAAGTTGGTAATTCCCACTTTAAAGTTGGTAATTCCAACTTAAATCTTGGCTTTTCCAACTTTAATCTTGGCTTTTCCAACTTTAAAGTTGGTAATTCCCACTTTAAAGTTGGTAATTCCAACTTTCAAAGTGGTAATTCTCACTTTACTTTGGAAATTCCAACTTTAAAGTTGGTAATTCCAACTTTAAAGTTGGTAATTCCAACTTTAATCTTGGTTTTTCCAACTTCAAAGTTGGTAATTCCAACTTTAATCTTGGCTTTTCAAATTTTTATTCGAGCTCTTCTATCCGCTTTTCTTTAGTTATTTCTTTTGTTTAAAGTATCAAAACTTGATAAAAGTGAAAATAGCTATGGAAGCGTATTAGTGCCACGCAATATTTTTTTAAAAGTTGGTAATTCCAACTTTAAAGTTGGTAATTCCAGCTTTAATCTTGGTAATTCCAACTTTAAAGTTGGTAATTCCAGCTTTAATCTTGGTAATACCAACTTTAAAGTTGGAAATTCCAACTTTAATCTTGGCTTTAAAGTTGATAATTCAAACTTGAATCTTGGGTTTTCCAACTTTAAAGTTGGAAATTTCAACTTTAATCTGGGCTTTTCCAACTTTTATCTTGGCTTTTCCAACTTTAAAGTTGGTAATTCCAACTTAAATCTTGGCTTTTCCAACTTTGGAGATTCCAACTTTAAAGTTGGTAATTCCAACTTTAATCTTAGCTTTTCCAACTTTAATCTTGATTTTTCCAAACTTTAAAGTTGGTAATTGCAACTTTAATCTTGGCTTTTCCAACTTTAATCTTGGCTTTTCCAAATTTAATCTTGGCTTATCCAACTTTTTTCGGCTTTATGTATTAAATTGTCTTAGATACTTTGTAACTTAAATTGTGTTACGTTTTATACATGTTATTAAAATGAAAAGATACAATTTTGGCGGTTGCCGACCCCCCCCCCCCCCCCCCCACCCCCCACCACCACCAATAATACAGAAGTTGCATACATATAATATTGGTAGTTGGTTGTTGATAGTGCCCCAAACTGAAAATATTATGCTCCATATACAAAATTGATACGGTCTCTTTTTTTAATGCTTAATAAAAGTCCGATCTCTTAAATATCTTAGTTTGAAATCCTGTCATGTACAGAGTTGACTGAAAGTCTTTATACGAGGGTTATGTAACTATTTTTTTCCTGCAACAGCTTCGACATTAATTGCCATACTATCAAACAAAGAAAGCATTTTATTATTTAATATAACTTAAGAAATTAACATTAACATAAATTAGGATCCTACAGTAGTCTTTACATTATACGTAGATTTATTTTTACTTAATAAAAATTTGACACTGAACAAATAAACTGGCACAGATAAAAATTGCTAACCAATTCATTTCAATGTACTCGTATATATTAACTTTATTAAGCATAATTCAAGTTTTATACCATAACTCCCTATGGACCCGTCCACCCTTCTTAAAGAGCCTCTCTTCTGCAACCCCCCCCCCCCCATTTAGGTTGCGAAAATTTATTGATACCCAGTCTGTTCCAGTGTATTACAGTTACATTAATAAAGTTGGTAATGGTTTAAAATAAAAGGGAAAAACTAAAATAAAAAGGGGGAGATCTCAAATTAAAGTTAGAAAAGCCAAGATTAAAATTGGAATTACCAACTTTAAAGTTGGAAAAGCCAAGATTAAAGTTGAAATTACCAACTTTAAAGTTGGAAAAGTAAAGATTAAAGTTGGAATTTCTAACTTTAAAGTTGGAAAAGCCAAGATTAAAGTTGGAATTACCAACTTAAAAAAAATATTGCGTGGCACTTATACGACTTATAGTGACCCCCATCCACCCTGTCTTCAATGCTATGCCAATCTTGCTGGAAACTTACGGTATATTGTCCTCTACTGCGTAGTATTTCTTCTGAACTCTATCAAACAAGCGATCCAGACAAGGAACTGTGCCCCTTTTGCACCAAAATAGGTAAATGTACAATAGAGCCAGGAGGATAAAAGTCACTCCTATACCTACTCCAATGGCAATCATTTTATCCCACCTGCAAAAAAGACATTACCACTTTAGTACATGTGTATACAGTTGATGTGTATGGTTTTTAATTAAAAAAATATTTTAACTTACCAGTAATTATCTTCATTAACAAAAAAAAGTTTTAATGTCGTAGAATCAAATTTTAGACTGTTTCTTTAAATAGAGGTATCCAGTGTATCACGTGATTATATTTCTACTCACCTTTCGCCGGGCTTGCAGCAGCCCACGGAGGCCTCCTGGGAGCAGCACTCGGTCTTGCCCTGGGCCACCAGGGACTCGTCTGTACAGTCCATGTAGTTCCCTTCGTCTGATGCAGGCTTAGTTTTGTCCACGATACATTTCTCATCATCCCCAACAGCTTCAGTGATAAAACAAGATGTATGTGTGTGAAATACTGAAACTTTTTGTGAAGATTTGTGAAGTTTCTCAAATGCAAAGCAAACTTAATAATTGAGGTCAAAAGATCAAATTTGTTGTTACTCGGTCATTTGAAAGGACTTGTGTCAATAAATATACTTGTGAAATATAAATACCCAAGCACCAACATATTAATGTAATGGCCATTAATTAAGAAGGAATACATGCATGAATGTAAGCACCTTAGTATTAAATTTTCAAAATTCATGGCCAAGGTTATTTATGCCCCCGGATCGAAAGATCCCTGGGGTACATTGTTTTCTTTCCTGTCTGTCTGTTTTTCTATTCTTTTTGACTGGGTACCACCAAATTTAACCTCTCGACCTTGGAGTTTGATCTACTTTTACAAAAAAAAAAAAAAGAATACCACACTTAAACCGGGCCATAACTTTTGAACAGTTGGAGCCAGGCTTTCTTACTTCACGTGTGTATTTATTGCGACAAGACCTCTCAGTGGGTGTAAATGTTTTTACTTTGACGTAAGTGTTTGACCCACGTTTTAAAAATTTTAACCTTGGTCATAACTTTTGAACAGTTAGAACTGGGGTATATTTCACAGGTACATCCCTTGTAACAAGACCTTCCTTTGGGTTCCAACACTTTTGACCTTGGCCTTTGGAGTTTGACATGCATTTGAGAGATTTCAACCCTCGTCATAAGCTGCCATACGGGGGCATCCGTGTTTTACAAATGCATCTTGTTTTTGCTGCTCAAACTCTAAATAATGTCAAAAGGTCAAAAATATTCATAATAGTAGATTAAGGTTTTGTCACAATTAATATACATGTGAAGTATAAAAGCCCTTATTACGTCGACTGCATGTTCAAAAATTAAAGCCAAAGTTTTGAATTTTTTTGCAAAAGTGGCCCAAACTCCAATGTCAAGGTTAGAAGGGCAAATATGTTGGTATGCAGGGAAATTTGGTCTTCTCACAAAGAATGCACTTGTGATACATAAATAAAAGCCTGGAGTAATTTTTTGGCGGACAAACAGACAGACAGGCGGACATGAAAATCATATATACCCCCCAAATCTTCGATAACGGGGGCATAATTACGCTTTATCAAATTTTATCACCATGTCATACCGACATATTTAATGATTTGTTTTTGTAGCTTGTATCATAGAACACTACAATCAAATATCGCGCATATAGTTTTCTGCCCTATCCGACCGTCTGCATGTTTAGCTGTCTGTCTGTTTGTCTGCAAAATTTTAACCTTACCCAGAACGTTTGATTGGTTGGAACTATACTTTTCATATATTCATTTCACAAGTGTATTTCTTGTGACAAGACCTTTAATTCTTTGGAAACCAAGATTTATGACCTCGTAACCTTGACCTTAAAGTTTGACCCCTTTTGCAAACTTTTACCACACTCTAACCTTGGCCATAACTTTTGAACAGTTGAGGGTAGAATTTGACCTGCTTTTGAAAAAAAACATTAAAAATGGTCCTAACTTTTGATCAGTTTTTTACATTTATACGAATCTGGTAATTGAATTAAGTTCTAGAGTTAAGGAAGGTCCATACTTTTACGGATCCGGTTTTAATTTTACACACCAATATAAAATTCTGATCATCACTTTTTTATTGAAATAAAATATTTTGGGTGCTTGAAAATAATTTAATAAGTATATATTTATTAATTATAGTGTCAATTTGATTATATATGCGTTTGATATATATACTATTTATGGAAATTAACACTTTACACTCTGTCCATAGGATTTAGCACATACACAGACACAAAATTCTTAATTGCGTTTATGAACCTACACCTTTCTTATTTTTTTTTAAAACAAACTAACTGGAGATCTATTTTAATAGATTTTAGGCCTATATCATCTTTTTAAATTTTACTTTCGTTTAAAATTTTGTAAAAAATGGTTGAAAAACGTGATATTCCAAAAATGGGGGTATACGTGTTCAAAGGGCTGTTTTGTTAAATTTTTCTGGTCAATCATAATAAAGTTTGTGTTTTTGTTAACCTTAGATATAATTATTACTACTTATAAAGAAAAAATGGCATGTAAACAGTTAAGATTTTGAGAATTATTAGAAATGAAGATATTTTGAGATTTTATTCTTAAAGACGTGGGCAGATTCAACATCAATTTGTTAATGCTTTCCAGGAAAAATTTCAAATATTCTCCTGGCAAATGAATATTTTTTGTTTCCACAAGTTTTAATATAAATTTAATTTGATTTGGTGCATAGCTAAGTAAAATATGATATCACACTTCTTTATGTTTAATTTTGGCTGTTGAATTTTTAGAGGTATGTACTCTGAGACATGTTGTACTAAAATTAACCTGCAAAGATATGTTTTTTTATGGGTGTTTTAGCTAGTTCATGAGTTATTCGAGGTATTCAAGTTAAAAAATGATCAGTTTGACAGAAAATTTTGAAAGTACGGACCTACCTTAAGTATATTTAAACAATAAATGGTTTATCAGGTAGGGATCTACTAGTATATACTAATACTTATTAGTTTATATATCAGTCCCTGATGGTATTCATATCAAAGTTTTATGTGTATTAATTCTCGGTGGATTCATTTTATATGCAGAAAATGTATAAATACCTACCTGCTTGAGTGATATTTGAAACAAAACCTAGAACCAGCACAACAAGAAATGTTTTCTTTAAGATTATTATTCGAACAGCCATTTTGTAAGGTTTTACTTTTATTGACCAATATACAACGCTCTGTTAATGCTTGTTTAATTAAGTGCTTTTGTGTTTTATACATTTGGTAAGAACTCTTACAGAAATCAATAACGTCTATAAATAAGATCGGAATATTAATCAATTATTTTACTGTTTAAAATGAAAATTTATCGATCTTTTTATGTTAAAATTTTGGTAAATTTGATCAAATTTAAAAATAAAACAGGATAAAATGTAAATAACACTCTAAAGAACCATTTGTGTCCAGTGAAAGTTAACAATGATAAATTAAAGATGGTTCCAGTGTTGTATGAAAGAAATAAGTTAATAAGAAATCTGTGAATTTATCTCAACCTTGAAATCAAATTTTATGATATTTTCATATGCATAAAACAGAGGGGGAAGTCAAACTATAGATATTCTTTTGGCTGAGGGGAAAAGGACCTTGATACGAATATTATAAAGAATGTCATAACTAAGAGTGAACGCGCCCTAATTGTATTCACGTAAGAGTCCCGGATAAACAATGGAAAACCGACAGCTGCTGCTGATAATTTAGGAAAATGTCACAGTTACATAACACCGGGAACAACTGAAGCATTCTTTGTGCAAGCATAAATATTTTCGAGGTAAGGTATATAATAAACAATACGGATCAAAGTGATGTTTTCATTCTCGAATCTAGTGAAACCGAAACGTCACAACACAACACATATTTCGAATTTCCTCTGGAACAGTTTAAGAATATTTGTTTTCATCTTCCCCTTGTTTCTGTTTGTTTCAAAATAAGATATATTTAAACTATTTAAATAGTATGATGGAAGAAACGACTCTACCCGCCGAGGAACCCGAGGAATATGATTATGACAGTTTCGATGAACAGTTAGATGATCGTCCAACTGAAAGATGGGCTCCTCTCGGACAAGCCACTAGTCCAGCCCCATCAAGAATGGAACTGAAGTATGGGATTTATTTACACACATTAAAAATGAATTCAATAGCTATGCAATTTATACTTTCACTTTTTAACCTGGGTGGAGTAGTTTGATTAGATAAGACAATTAATCATATAATGATATTGTGCAATCAGGATTGTCCACAGGATTTTTAAGAATAGCAGTGGATGTTAAAAGAGTAGAAGGGATATCCGGGGTTCCACTCCTAACAGGGGATTGATGATAAATATCAAAGTACAGGGGGATTATGTCATTATATGCAGTGTAATTCATTGCAACTACAGTGGGATTTTGTCATTACTCATTACGGTAGTCACTTTTTAAGAGTAAAATATCATAATACAGAGGGCAGTGTAATATTCCAAATAAAATTCATTAAAGCATCATTTTGAAAGCTTACATAATTGGTGAATGGGGACATATTTCTTCTGTCCTGTTATCTTCCTCTGTTCCACCTCAAATCTCTTTGTCAAAACACTGACATTTAAATTTATTGACAACTAATATTGCCTCAGTGTATTTTTTTCATGCTGCTGAACTCCTTAAAATGTCTCAATCAACCATATATGGCCTTTGAATGTCAGCTTTAAAAATAAGCATTCTGGCTTTTCATGTTAAGGGTCTTTCAAGGTGAAGGTCCTGAAAAGTAAAGAAATTATTAGAAATAGGAATAAGATATATAAAACCATGTTTTAAGTTGGAACACATTTAATACAATAAATAATACCATAGTGAGTGCCAATAAAGCATTGCCATTAATCTATTTTTACAAAGTAGATCTTTACCTTTCTGTTTTGTTTGTTCAAATTTTCTCAACCAGAGCTACTCTTCTGCAGCTTTTCATCAATTAAAAGGTAAAAACACAGTGTTATCAAGCCTCTGTCATTTAAAAAAGGATATATCCATATCAAATCATTGTTATCTCAAAAGAATCTAACATCTTATATCATAATATGTTTTGGCAGCCATGAAAGTCACTTGGAAGAGTTAGATCGACTGGAGAAAGAACAGGAGCAGCTGAACTCTTCACTTCTTGCCCTCACGACACACTTCGCTCAGGTTCAGTTCAGACTGAAGCAAATAGTGAATTCAGAGCCGGACCAAAAGGAGGTTTGTCACAGATAAAATTATAGATAACTTATTCTAAAATTGGCAAAAATGTTGGCAAAGTGTTTATTTCTTTATTGCAGCCTATTGGTTTAGTGACATACATGTGATAAATAATTTGTTTCATGTTTTATTTATTTCCAGATTTATTTAAAGATTTTCTAAACAGAGTTCAATACAAGTAGATACAAAGTTTTTTCATGCATCCAGCATGTCTATGTTAGCTATGAAAATTGTGGCCCCATGTAATTTAAAAAGTTTACTAACAAAAAAAAACAAAACGAAATGATGGTTTTCATGCATTCTAGTAAAGTACTTTTCAAGCAGATGGCAGATAATTTGCATTACGTTTCATGCATTCCTATTTTCTTTTTCAAGTTAACTTTTACACTGAATTGTTTTAGCATTCCTCTACTAAAGTAGCATCATAGCCAGTACTTATACATAGCAAACTGCAATGAGCTACTAACTGTATTAAACAAGGATTTTTTTCTCTCGATAAAATAATATAACACAACACACTTTTTAATGAAATTATGCATGATAAAATAAAAAAGCATGTATTAAATGGAAATATAATTGAAGATGATATAAGCATATGCATTCAAAATGCAATCAGAATATGTGTGCATTCTATTTCATGTGTCTCTTAGATACATGTAGCTTGAAGATATTGTTATCTGTGTAAACTATTTTTACATCCAGTTAGCTTTGATTCACCCTAAGGCATAAACACCTATATTTATACTGTACAAGTAATTGGTAAATGTAGGTATGAATAAAGAAGTGTCAATGCTTGAATGACACTCTGAAATCCAATTGGAAATCACAAATATACAAATATTTAAAGCAATATGAGCTGCATGTTTGACATTGGAAAAAAATATTTCAAATTTGTAATTAACTATTTCATTGACATGAAAATGGAACGTTTATTAACTTTTGTTGTTCATATTTGCTAAGGAAGAACTTTTTTATAAGATTTGATTGCAGCAAAATTGAATTATTGTCGTCCTGTACAATAATGATTTCTTATATAATGCTGTATATTTGGTTGTACAGCAATATTTCTTCTGGGACATTTTTACACTTTATTTTGGTCTTTGTGATCATTAGGGTTTAGATTACATACAGATTAATCATAATAACACATTTTAACAGCAAAATATAATTTTCACAAATGCAGCTCATATTGCTTTAAATGTGTTTGGCATTATATTTAGTTGTTACAAAGTATGCATTTGCCAAATTTTCTTGTACATTGTATATATATTATTAAAAGAAATCAGTGCTAAAAATTAAAGAAAATGAACTCTCATATATAATATATTTTAAAAAATCCCAATATTCATTCTTTTAGAATACCAATAGTTGTAATACATGTATATGTAATATTATTAGCTCTATTTTACTTCTAGCATTGAACAACAGTACAAGATTGATTTTAAAATAAAAAATAATGAAAATTTGATGAATCTTTGACACAGGTATTGTTAAAGGAATTAGAAGAATTTGCTTTCAAAGGAATTCCAGATGTAAGGGGGAGTCGAGTACAAGATGCACAGATTTTGGAAGAAAGGGTCAGTTAAAATCATACTACATGTAAATCTCTCTCTCTCTCTCTCTCTCTCTCTCTTGTGTAACCCCCCCCCCTTCAGTCTTCACTATAGGTGTTTGGTAAGATTCTGACATACACTTTGATGATTTCTTCTTCTTCCAGAGTGACAAAGAACATGAAGATAAAATAAATGAACAAAGAGAGAAACAAAGGGAATTAATTCAACAGCTGAAATCACAGCTTGAGGATTTAGAAAATTATGCATATGAGGTAAAGAACTGATGCATTTTTTAAACAATAGCATGAAAGTTAAATGTGAGAAAAGTTGCTATCGGATATAATAATTACAATACTAGCACTCTTCTCAAAATTCTGGTCAAAATAGGCTACTGTGGAAAAAAATAGTTTGTTTCTCCTCTCTTAACAAGTAAAAATACTGTTTTTTAATATCCTCCATAGGTTTCACATGAAGTTTTGAATATTTATGTTTTTTACACCCCCCCCCCCAATTATGCTAAAGTGAACTCTTAAAAATCAGACTATCTGGGGTTGTGTTAGGACAGAAATGATATAGGATCACATTCCAACATCTGTAATATTTTGGGAGGTGGGGGTAGGGTGGGGGTGCTTCCACTGTGAGCAGACTGGAGAAACAACAGGGCTGACAATAAATTTTACATTAAGGGAGATAATTGCATATGTAAATTTCTTTTATTTTCCAAGGAAATTAAATTACAATGAGTAACTATGCACTCTTCTTTCATACACAAATTAGTTATGATTCAAAATCATCCAAATTTTGGGGCAATTAGTTTAAGTTAGATAGTTTATTACTCTTGAAGATCAGTATGATAAGCAATAGTTGATCAAGCAGATACTTTTAACAAACCAATTAAGACTATAGATTGTAAAAAAAAATTGTTCTCTGTTTGCAGACAGGAGATGTTGAAGAGCTGCCCACTAATAAGATGATGGAGAAACAGAGGATTGTTATCGACGAGCTTAAGACCAAACTGGACCTCAATATGGAGAATTTTGATAAACTCAGGTACAAATCAAGAACTGTAATAATTGTATACAGTGTCAATCATGTGTCAACAGAACAGAATATAAGAGACATACAATAAAAGTCAGTCACTGCAGTATTTAAGGTAGGTCTCGGGTTTACTGCGTAAAAATTCTTACGAGAAAACATATCCTGAAAATTTGATAAAATGTTCCTTAGCATTTAAAGCGTATCATCTGCAATTTTTATGAAATTTGCCTAAGTAATTTTAATGTTATAGTACTGTAAACGCGGTATAGTTTTTAATCCTTTTTGACGCTTTTATCATTGAAATATATGGGAAAATGACGTTTTTAAGCCAATTTTGTGAAAATAGTTTCTTTTAAAAAGGTTGGATAACTTTTTAAAGACGTAGACGAATTATTCAGGAATTTCAAAATGTCAAGATGAGGTAAAATCAAAACCATTAATATAAAATAATCAATATGTCTTCTCGCTAGATTTTTTGCTAAATAATTTCAAAGTTTTCTTTTAAAGTGATAAAATTTGGCGTTTATGGTGTTATTAATATGTACAACGTCATTTGTTGAACGTAGTCACGTTTACAGTACTAGAATAAATATATTGACCTATGGAATATGCAAGTATTAAAAGGTGATATCGATACAAAATTTAATTTTATTCATCATTTAATTCATTGCGGAGACATATTAGGATGACCAGCAACTTAGTTTCACTAGTATTGTGAAATTCATATTCTGATCACAAAGTCAGAATGAACGGTATAAATAATCCTCGTGCAGCGACATTAACATGCAGCGACAATGTTCTCCGCGAGTGAGAAAATATTAGTACCTGTATTTTTATGCATGGAAATGCATGGTCAATAGGATTTCAGGCATAAAACAAAAATTTGATCACTTTATTTGAAACGGTAGGAAAAACATCCCTATCATGAGGAAATAAGTAGGCGGGGGGGGGGGGGGAGGGGGAGTACCTGCAATGTTCTTTCTATATTAGTCGCAAGGTATTGTATATGGCTCTAAATCTCAAGCAATTTTTTTTAATTTCGAATTTTCTGAATTAAATTTCAATACGTAAAATGTAAAACACTCGCATTTAGCTTTTACACGTTGAGCTTTTGTCATATCCTGAAAAAAATTATACTTGTAAATTGTTTACAGTGTTTTGTAAGTCTTAAAATCCAGGTGTTTGAATAAATTTGATTTTTAAACGCATTTCACAATTTATTATCAAGAAAAACAAGGTGAGTGCACGAGATTTAAATTCATAACAACCAACCAATATTAATAATGATAATTAAAAAAAAAAAACAGGAAAATACTTGTTATTAAATATAACTCGTTTTTAGTGATGAGGATTAATTTCCATCCTGAAAAGTAAACGCATATTTTCGCCCCGGCTTTGGTTTGAAGTCAAGTTCTCCTGAGTTTCAAATAACGTGCGCACATACAATCCCTCAAGTTTCTCGCTAAGCAATTTTTTATTTATGATAACTTTCTTTCTGCTAGCCATTAATTTTACGCTGATTTATTCTGATTGACTTTTAGCAGTTTAGTTACACTTCAAATTTAATTTATTGCTTTCATTTGGTATTGTAGTTAATTAGTCCAAAGACATTACATATAATCACACCAAAATTTTGACTGAAATTTATTTTTAAAACATGTACGAGGTTTATGTACAAAAGCATGCACTTTGTGTTAAATCTACTTTTAAATTCGTACAGACTTGAAGTCATTCGCAGAGAATTAAACGGGAAACACAGTGACGTTGCCTTTGTGACGTAACTGACGTCATAATCAAATGTGCACAAAACAACCTCTCGAATCGTCAAAATTGTGTACCAAAATTGATGACAAAAGCAAACCCGCGACCTACCTTAAGAATTGTCAAATCAGATATTGAAATTCTTGTTTGTTATTTCAGCACGGACGACTTGAAAAACGTAGTGGATCATGCCATAGGACAGGTAGAGTTTACATTCATTAATTATCATTCAGTCAAAAGTGGTAGAATTCAACTATTTAATGTTAATAAAATTTGAAGAAATAGATAAATTAAGATATTTGTAATATCTCTTAAGATAACCACAAAACATGGAGGTATGTATGAATTAGGCACTTAGTTAAAGTCGGCATGGTAGAAAATGCTATTTAGAGAAAAATAGTTTAGAGTTTATGATTTATTTTTAGATTGTTAACCCTGCCAAGGTTAAAGAAAAGCTTGTAGGACAGCTTAGAACTCAGGTGGTGGATCTAGAGAGGTTTATTGCTTTCCTGCAAGGTAGGGTTAATAGAGTTCCCTCCCTTTAAATGCTTTTTATAGCTTGTTTATGAAACAGTTGCTACAGTAAATTTTTATTTTCTTCTTGAAAAAAAAAATGAATTGTTTTGAATGTTTCTGTAATATTTTTAAAGAGTCAGCTCAAATATTGTTAGGTTTTGGGTATTATAAATGTATGCTTATTAACATATATACATGTACGAGTATTTCAGTTGCACATTTCATTGAATACTGTAGGAGAAGCTAGCAGCCCAGGACCTCTAGGGAAAGAGAGATGCACTTGCCCAGTTCATAAGGTAAATATTTTCCTAATAAATAATTAAATATGAAGAACTTGATACGTGCATTTAGGCCACAGGTAATTAAATGCAGACACATTTGACTGTAAACAGGTCCATTTGATTTCATGGTTTATTTTATATATAAAATCACCCAATCTGTAGATCAATTAACTGTTACTTTATATCCAGTTTCTGATTTTATTTTATTAAAAGCAGATTTTTAAATGCTTTCATTACCTGTTATGTAAACCTTCTATGGCTTGGGATTGACAGGTTTATAAAAAACATAAAAAGTAATGTTCTTGAATTTAGTTATTTGAGTACTAGTCACAATCTTTTGCTTAAAAATACATGTTTACTCTTCTAGTATGTTTTCATTGTTCCTAGTTGTTTTAGCATATGTGTATATTTAAAAAAATATTTAAAAAGTAAGACTTAAATAGAGAGTAAATATTTTTTAAGTTCTTAATTTGAGTTGTAAACAAATAAAAGATGTAAACTTCTTTTGTTCAGTTTCCGGATGACAGTTCCGATACCTCAAAAGACTGCTGTACGGGAGTACCCCAAAGCCAGAATCGTCGCCTGAAGGAGAAAGCCGAGAGGGAAAAGAATGTCAAGGATACGCAGGCCTTCATCAAGAAGACCTTAACCATACTACAGATGTTCATTATCTCACAGTTTGGATGTGGGTCAGGAGAGTTCAAGAAAAACATGATGAAAAAGACAACAAAGGGAAACCACTGGGGGTAGAGAGTTATTGTACTGTATTCAATGTTCTAGCAACCTAAAATCATGAATGTGATGCCCCTGTAATAGCATCAGTAAAAATATGCTAAACAAATTCAGAGCATAAAGTACAAATGAATTTTTTTCTACCTACCTCATATCTATAATTTTTTTTAACCAGTGACCTTAGAGCTAGGTTAGAATTGGCCATCAACAAAACATTAGAACTGTCACAAAATCAAGAGGAGGATCCAAAAGATGACCAGAGTGAATATGGAAGTGATTCAGAAGAGGTGAGTACCAGAAAAACAATAGAACTGTCATAATTATAAGACAAAGTACCAAAAGATGACTGAAAATATAAGTGAATATGGATGTGATTAAGAAGAGGTGAGAATGCTGAACTTCCAACCTTTGTGATATTAACCTCAGGTTTATGATTTGAGAGACTAAAGTATCCAGGTACACAGTAAAATTTTGTAATTTATTCTTTTGATTTCCTTTTTTCTTTGTTAAAAGTTTGAATTACCCAAATTTTCATCGTCCTTGCTCTTCATGTGCACTGATATAATGAGTCATAGTCCTTACAGTGCCTGTGTGTATTGTCTTTGTCTGCTTCACTTCTGCTTCACAGTGTATAAGTCTTCATCACTTGAAACGTACTTTTGGATGACTTTGAGGTCATTAACATTACCGTTATCATAATTGTGTCAAAGACAATGACTCAGTACAAGTAAGAAATGTGACATACTCTATCACTGAACAATGATGTGCAGTAGATAACAGTTTGTAAACTAGGTTAGTTTTAGTGTTTGATTTTGTGCTTAATTACCCATTCCTGTGTGTTTCAGAGCCAGGAGCAGAGTAGTCCCGCCCTGACTCAGTGCGTGAGGAAGGACCTCGCCATGGCGATCCGGGACCTGATGCAACACGGACTTATGGAGGTCAGCACTGTCCTAAAACAACAGGACACTGTATCTAATCAGTCAGATGACATGCATGGTATAAGTGTAGCTATGTGAAAGTAAATTCATGGTCAGTTTCTTAAACTATTGACCTACCATGTATACAGTTTGTAAACAGGAGATGCACTAAGCACTGGTCATTAATTAAGGGAGAAAAATGCACATTTCTCATCAACATCGGTAAAATTCACATAATGTTTAATGCCCAGTGCCATCATATTCTTTGCGAAAAAAGGGATGGGTTATAGAAGTTCTGATGCAAACTCCTGAATTTCAGATAATTTTATATATGAAGCTTATTGATGAAGAGAAGTGAAACATGATTGTAGAAAACTGTTCCTTCAAACCTGAAACAGAAACTTTATATAAAAGATATATGAACTGGCTTCAGTTTAGCAGCAAATATTGCATCATTTATTTATTTACAGATAAGATTTATCTGATAATAAGATATAGTTCATCACACTCCGGAGACACCTGTGCATTACACTTTCTGTGTATTCAGGCCAATTCAGTTCACGTACATCTAGCGCCCACTTAATTATCTTTGTGTTTGTTTATCGTATCATATCCATGGCCTATATATCCTAAAGGTTTCAGTTATCAATAACAAACAAATTCTGTCATGTGTTCCTAAATTTAATCAATGCATTTAGAGAAATGTTAGTTTCAGTGATAATGAAATCATATACAGTGTACTTGTATCAAACATCAGATTATAGGTTCACCATTGTATGAAAAACTTTCCTATTTAAAAAAAAAACCCACAACCAACCACTTTTTTTTTCAAAGGGGGGAGGGGGAGGGGGGTCAGTGTGTGAAGATTAAAATTTAATATGTAGTTCTTTATATGCTTGTTGGAAACTTACAACAAGGATGTAGGTAAAAGCTTGGTTCTTTTTTTGCTCTACCCCGACAGATCAGCAGTTGTCACACCTAACCCTGTAACTTAGGGTTTTCGTTGTAGGTGGGGCAGAGTAAGAGTTTGGTGCCTTTTGGCTGTATCCCCAACAGATCAGCAGCTATCACACACTCTCTACATGCCTGGGATTTACTTCTCAAGTTTTATGATATGAAGGTAAGTTTGAATGTAGCTAAACAGTGTAAAAATGATATAACTACTGGTACCTTAAGTCAAAAAAGTTTTAAGGTGGAAAGAATACTGTAAACCAATTTTTATTTACATCTTTCATTCTCATCCCAAGTTTAGAATCCATCAGCGCCAACTAGGCAGTATTCTACATAGATACTTTGGTAAATGATTGGGTCTTGAGGAAAAATACTTACGAGTGAAGAAAGGTTGCAAAACTCGCAGATAATAATTCTCACACAAAAATAGATACCGTATTTGTTTACAGTAGTTCATTGCATGAAAAAATCCAGATACTTTGATGACTGAGAAGGCTCTTGGGTCATTTGATTATGTTGATGATTGGAATGGAAATTTTATCATGTCAGAAGTTAATTCCTATCTAAATGGTGAACATTTAATACTTTTTGATCAACTCTTCCTTTTAAGAAGCAATGAGACAAAGTTAAATTCTAGCTTTTTTTTCAGCATGGCAGACAATACAATGAGTCCCCAGCCAGAAAGTTGTCCCAGTCCTTTCACTTGGAGATGGTCGGGGGAAAGCCCATCACAGCCAAACAGACTTTACTGGGGGCCATAGACACAGTCATCTCCTCACACACCCCACTCAAACGCTCAGAAGACTCTCATTTTAAAGCTTTCATCTCCTTGGCTCTTAAGTAAGCAGGAAAAATATATTTTAAAACTCTAAAGACATTTGTTGCCTTATGCAGAATTTTGAAGTTACATAATCAGAGGTTAATTATTAGTGATATATTTCTTGATTTCTTAATCTGTTTTCTATTTGACAGTGAAAAGAAGTTGGTGGTCTGGTTTAAGTTACTTTTTCGCACTCAGACTCTGATAGATAGCTACTATCAGGACTGGAGTTATGTGGCCAGGACAGGTTAGATATCACTGTGTGGGGAAAACGGGAAAAAAGAGATATGTTTAGTACATTGTGTTTAATGAATACCATAGAGTTTTGGAAATTTTAATTGATGTTTTAAAAATAGGTTAAGGGGGTTATGGCAAATAAAAAATTGCTACCTTTAATGGATAACTTTTAAAAGCCATCGCAAACAATTTGTTCAAGTTGTTCATGCAAAGTCATTCTTGTGTGGAAGAAAATTTGTGTTCATTTTCCTCTGCCTCAGGTTATACAATAACCTGATAGAAATTCGCAATGCTGCAATCCCAATTACAGGAATCCTCAGACAAAGGGATCCTTATGTGTCTCCTATATGCTATGCAGGCAAAGTAACATATTTTGCTGCAGATTATGTTATTTAACTGTTGCAAGTTTTACATTTGTTTTATAGGTTTTGATGATGCTCTTAAGTCCCTGGACAAGCTGAACAGCATTCCATTCAAACTTCCTGTTGACCTTGCCGTACGACCTTTCAGTAATATCAAGGATGCGTTCTAACCTTCTTCAGCTTAAAGACACAATATTGATGGATTCAGCAGGGGGTATTTACCCAAAGATTCAAAAAATAAGATTCCTACTTAAGAATTTTTTTCCATCCCTGTCATCTTTTCAGGAATTTTGAACTCTGTTAATAATTTTTTTCACTCAACATCATGTGTTTGTTTTATAATCCTTAAACAATTTTTGTAGATCATATTTTTTAGACTTGAAACTGATAAGAAGCATTATCATTATAATATTCAATTGATGAATTTAAAATTTCATGAATGTGCTCTTTTATAGCATAGATATGTCCAGTTTTCATATTAATATCATATGCATACCAACTGACAAGTCTCGTTTTATGTTGGAATAAAGTTACTTAATCTCACAATATTTAATAGGATAAACTTGCAATTTCAAAGATTTCGATACACTAAATCCATTTCAATTCTTTTTAACTTAGTCAGAAAACTTATTGTTATTAGTTTAGTTCCCTAATGGAGTAGGATTTTTTTTAGGGGTGGGTGGGTAGACTAGGTAATCATAGAGCTAAGGGGATGTGGCTAGGTGTACTGTAGTTACTCTACTCTTTTCAATTATTTCTATGCGCCATTTTTTCAGAAGGAAAGGGCATCAAGAGTATTTATTTAGCCTTATTGGTTATGATAAACTAAATGTTTTAGAAGTCCAGATCCCTGTATCCCTTTGGAGTTACAATGTACCAAGTTGTATCCACATGTAATTCTTGTATATCATAATGTCATTTAGAACCATTTCCAGCTTAGTTTGGACTTTCAGTAAGTCATGGCATTCTCGACGCTACATGTTTACTGCCTGTCAAATGGCGAATAGATTCTCATTGGTTAAGAAATTAATAACATCAGGAACTTTAAATTGTTGTTGACAAGATTGTTGATGAGATGAATTAAGCTTCAGCTCTTTGTAGGATGAAACAATGTAATTGGTTATTCGATACACTGATTGGCATTTGCCCGAATTTCTATCCCATGTATATTTCAACAGTGAAGGAAAGCTGTGTAAATTTCAGAAGCTATTTATGTAACGTCAAGAATGTCACACCTTACTGAAAGTACAAACTAAGCTAGAAATGGTCCTACCTAGGATAATTCAAAATTCGTGAGTGACTCTGACATTTTTATGAATAGGAAATTCAACTTTTATCCCTTGCTCCAGTTTATTGAACACTGAGATGAACTCAATGATATCTCACAATATTCACTATGTCCAGTTTTTTCTGACTTTAATGTCATGAAATCAACACCTGCCTACCCACCTCCTTTCAAGAAAAACCTAGATATATTATGTAAAGGATCCGGAGATGGTGCTTTATGTTCATAAAAGTTATTATTAAAATATAGACATAATATTTGTGCAATAGATAGACTGAGTAAAGAATCTCTTCTGAAATGTATACAAAGTACTTCATATGTAGGTCTTCAATATTGACGCAATACTAATTGTATCAGAGTTTCATATATATTAGCATTTTTGGATATATACCTGTAAGTTAAATATAAAGCGAATCTCACTTTTTCTGTCTCCAATCATGGTTAAATATTCTATATCACTTATATAATAGCTCAATGATAATTATTTATTAGCTTTTTGTGGATTACGCTGTAGTTGAGCATATTAACTAATGAATTCCATTAACTTTTACATTCCTTAAGTTATGTTCTGAATTAATGATCATAATAGATCTCTTTGCTTTATAAAAATACATTGTATTTATAAATGTATTTATTCTTGTAGGAAATCCATCTGTTTACATTTATGTTATATTTTATTCTTCACACATTATACATGTATGCTCATATTATTATTTTTCAAAGTTTATGTACTAGTATTTATGAAAATGAAATCCTTTGTTCTTTATCTGATTAATCTATCTTTTTTATGGTTGTGTTGATAAAATACTGCATATTTTTGTGCAATAATTTTTGTTTTGAAATCCAGTTTCCTATCCTATGTATGTTATAATTATAATAATAATGTACTGTACTTGTATGTATGAAAAGCCAAAATTCATCAGGTTACTGTATGCATGTTTGAGAATATTTATTTGTAAACTTACGGGGAAATGGGTATATGTATGATGTCATGAGTAGTTATTTAAAAAAGATCAATTTCAAAATATACCAAACATTATAAATGTAGATTACAGCAGTCAAATATCAAATGAGAAAATAATTCATAGGTATACATTTTTCACCACAAATACAATTACTATAAATGTTTGTAATGAACTATATGTAAGTAAAATCTTCTGCTCTCTTATTTATAAAATGTGATAAAATTTCAAATAATTGGTTAACATGTTTCTGTGCAATATCCTTGTAAATATATAAATATAGTACATAAGAGACCGTATAACTATACATGCTACATAAGTCTCTGGTTCATGCTCTTGAGTTTACCTGCAATACCTCTTTTTAACGTGAATTATGGTTAGAAGTAATAAGATATTTTACTCCTATTAATGATAATTATAATTGGCATTTAAATCTCTCACATTGTTATCTTTGTTGTAGAATGAATAAATTTATTTTGATGTTGCATTATTTAGTCTTTTTTTTCTCGATACAAATGTTCCTTTTTAGCCATTACATAGTGGCATTGAATTTGAATTATTTAGAAAACAGGAATCTCTTCAGTAGGACTTTTTATCCATTTGTTACAATATCAGTATACAGTATATGGCTGTAAGTGAAGCATATAATTTTTATAAGAACAAAACCAATTTTTGCTAATTTTCCACCATACAGTCAAACTTCATTATCGTGAACCTGATGGGGATGAGAAAAAACTTTGAGATATCCAAGGATTCAAGATATCAAGGGTAAAATACAAATACATGTATGTGGTTTGGACTTCCACATCACTTTGACATATATCCGTGGAATCCGAGATACCAAAGTTCAACTATTTTCTTTCAAATGATGTAAATTTCTCCCTTTTTTAAATAAAAAGATACATGTACATGTACTATAGATCATTAACTTACAAGAAGTGCAACAATTCTAACCACTTAGACTGACATAGTACAATATTTTCTTAACAAAATGTTTTGTATCAGATCTGAGTCAGTGCAAATAAATAATAATTGATTTCAAAAAGTAAAATAAATGATATGAAGAAATATAGTAATCACTTTTACTTGGAAATATTCTACAAGCTGAAAAAAGGTTTCAATTTTTTTATAGGCCTAATATGATGGTGAAAAAAAAACACAAATATTATCGGGTACAGTCAGTATATATCACTTGTGTTATTACTTACTTTTATCAATTGTTTTTACTCAATATAAATTATTGAAAAATTCACGAAAAAGCGAATCCGGATTCAAGTCTTGTATTTAGATATGACACGATTAGATTTATCCAATCAAATCGTGCTATTTGGGGGGCTCGGCAATGAAATTATAGTCACGTGGTCAAAACAAACAGTTCAGTAGCATTCAGATCAGTCGACAGTATTGACATCGAACATTCAAGAATTTAGCCTATATTAAGGGTTTCGAATAAAACATCCCAAAAAATGGACGAGTAAGGAAGTTTTATTATGAATTTTTCTTTCGCGGGTTGTGGTTTTCTTGGAATTTACCATGTTGGTGTAGCAAGTTGCCTCAAACAACATGCACCACAACTGGTGGAGAAGGCGACGTTTTTAGGAGCTAGTGCAGGTGCCCTAGTGTGTACTTGTTTGTTATGTGGTATAGATATAGGTAAGTTCTATTTCTTTGTGTTTTGATTCATCGTTATTTTGTTGATCACCAAGGCTTGCATTTCGTAACATGGCCATAATGGTCCTTGACCTTTAAACGTGTGCTCTATTGACCCAATTTCACACGATTTTACGGTTACTTTTCTAATTAGGTTTAAAATCCATGTGAGTGGACACCACTTATGTTCTTAAAAAGCATATTATTGACGAAAATCCAAAATGATATAAAGTAAACATGGTAAAATACTTTCAAATTACTAATTTAATTAGATCCAGGCATATGTAGGAAGGTTGGTGCATAGGAAGTCCCGGTGCATAGTAGGCTTAATGGAATAATTCTTTAATGGGTCTAATGATCAGTGTCAGCTAGCAGTTTCTCATGAGGCAAAAATGATTTACAAATTTTCTAATATATACCTCTCCTCGTGAACATAGAAATTAGGAAAATCATCAAATCAATCAGTGGATTTATTCAGCCTGTGTCATTCATCCTGATTTATGAACAGGATTATCTTATAATAGGGAAAGGAAGAAAGCTCCGGTAATTAAGGAAATCTCAAGTTGATTGTGTTTGTATATCCCAGAGCTTACTTGAGTTGACAAGATGAGTCAGATGAGCAGCTGACCATGCATAAAAAATTTGACATAATGTATGATAATATGGAAATGTAGGGCAGATTTAACCCATCTGCCCTTTCATGACCGTGTTTAAATTAGGTCCATTCTAACACCCCTTTTTTCACCTGTCCTCTACACAAAGGAACATGCATAACACATCTAGCATTTGTACTTTTGTGGCCAGAGGGCCCCCCAATTGTGAACTATGTAACACTGAATAATATGTTCCTTGTTGAATGACAATTAAGTAACAGTTTCAGTGGGAAGTAGTACCATTAAACTTTAAAAAAGTAAATATACTTATATAAAAAAAACATTTTCGAAAAGTTTGTTGAAAATTGACATAGTGAAAGTAGTCACAGTTAGAAGTCACTTTTAGATTAAGTATTCATAAGAATAGTTTTTTAGATTTAAAATTTTTTTAAAAAAAAGTTCAAGGTCTCTCGAATTTAGCAATTGTTTAATATACCCAAGTAAATAATAATGAGGACTCCATTGTGTACATTTATTGAATATTATTATGAAGGATGTACATGTGTACATTAATTATTTTGGAAACTGCAGAGTAACAAACAATGAAACATCCTAACACGACCCATCCTAACAGATTAAATTCACTACAAGAAATGCTCAAATAATAAATAAATTTATGTTCAACTTTAGGTGAATGTACAAGTTTTGTGTTACGACTTGCGACAAAAGCTCGTTCCAGAGCTCTTGGACCTCTACATCCAAGTTTCGACATTTCAAGAATTCTCAGGGATGTGCTGGATACCATATTACCAGACAATGCCCACGAGATTGTCCGGGGTCGGTTATATGTCTCCCTGACCAGGGTCAGTGACAAGCAGGCAGTGCTGGTGTCTGATTTCCACTCTAAGGCTGATCTTATACAGGTAAGTCCACACAGCAGAGCAATAATAATGCAACAAAACCTTAAATGACAAAATTGGGGTATGCATTTTAGAGTGTGAGGCTGATTGGCTGTTAAGAACCAACATGCCCAATATTTGAAAGCATGTGAGAGTTTATTTAAGGAAACAAAGTTTCTAGGTCATTTGGCCAAAGATTAATATATCATGTGAATTTCTCCCAATTTACAGAATAATGTATGTCAGTGTAACTTGACATTGTGCCAGAATCCCCCTATA